TAGGGGACTGTCTAGGGCGGGGGGATAAAATGGACACATATGTAATACCCTTTGTAATACTTTAAGCAATAAAAAAAAAAAAAAATAACCGGAAAAAAAAAAGAAAAAGAAAAAGTGAAACAATCTCACAAACAAGCATAAAAAAAAAACCAAACCCAATATAATCAACAATCAAGCAAACAACAACAAAACGACAGAGATTAAAAAAAAAAAAAATGGATAGTGAAGAAAGAGAAGAGAGAGGTGTATATGTTCTTAGAGCAGGGGATTGGAAATTAGATATATATAAGTAGGGTGAAATTTTAACAGGGGTAAAAAGAAGGAATAGAGAAAATCTAAAGCAGGAATAGGGTAAGAGAAACAGGACAACAAAAGGGGAAAAGTAAGGAAGAGAGTTTTGGCATAAAGGTAAAGTTGAGATAGAGTAAAATGATGCTAAAGGAAAGGTGAAAATAGATTGTAGAACACTAATCCCAAAATAAAATAAAAAGAAAATAAAATGACACTTTAAAAAAAAAAGGTAAAATGGTAGTAGTAATAATACTGGTTAAAAATAAAAATGTAGTAATTGAAAAGGTAAAATCAGGTGACGAAAAAAGAAAAAAAAATTAGTTTCTGAAGTAAAAGGTGAAAAAAAATTAAAATGTGCAGTAGTGAAGGTCCTTCATTTCCTCTACTCTTCTGTTTGGCATGCCTTAGTCCTGTCAGGTATTCAGGAGAGTGTTGAAGTTCCCTTTGATACACTGTTCCTCCGTATTGTAAACCACAGTCCTGATTTTAAAGCAGGCAGTATTTCTTTGTTTCCCAGTCTGCCTTTATTTGTGTTTACAGAAGAGTCAGTTTGTGGTTCAGCCCCTGGGTGGCAGTGTTTCTGGATTGACCTCTGAGGCTACAGATCCTGTCTAGCCAGTATTTAGTTTTTGTTTTCCCTATCACACTTAATACTGGTTTGGGAGAGTCGACTGCCCCAGAGCTGGTTCCTTAGTCATTACTCCCTGCTCTGATTCCCAGGTTCCACAAAAACAACTTTCCCCTGCAGTCTCTGTGAGTGACCCCAACTGGGCAATCTTATGTATTGGGTTTAATAATCAAAAGCAAAGATTTTTTTTTTTTTTAAATATATTTTATTGACTTTTCACAGAGAAGAAGGGAGAGGGATAGAAAGTCAGAAACATTGATGAGAGAGATCGATCAGCTGCCTCCTGCACACCCCCCCACTGGGGATGTGCCCGCAACCAACGTACATGCCCTTGACCGGAATCGAACCTGGGACCCTTGAGTCTGCAGGCCGACGCTCTATCCACTGAGCCAAACCGGTTCGGCCAAAAGCAAAGATTTAAGGAGAAAAAAAAAAAAAAAGCCAGAGTGCACAATTCTCCCAAAGTCTCTTCTGCACGTCCTCTCTCCCCTGGCACTAAGCAGCCAGCACACTGGCAAAATCCGAGACTGCCTTTTTGCACCCAGTTCAGCTATGGGCTGATTTTTAGAGTTCCCTTCTGCCAGCAGCCCTGCAGGACCCCTTCCACACTCGTGGATCATGCTGGCCCCAACGGCCGCGGACTTTGTGGGGTGCAGACTTCCCCTGCATGCGTTCCTCTCTCCAACCTGAATTATAAACCGCACCTTTATCTAGGCGAAATCTGACCTTTCTGTGAGGAGGAGCAGGGCTCGGGCTCGTCTGAGTCCAAGTATTTGCGCTGCTTGAGATCTGGTGTTCCTAGGTTCGTAGCTGGACCCTGGGTGCCGTGGTTGCAGGGTTTCTGGATGTATACGTTTCCGATATCAGCCACTCAAGATGGCGTGGTCTCCGAGGCTGAGCCGGTTGCTCCAGGGGAGAGATTTCAGCAGCAGTGGAGGCTGCCCGGTTAGGGGAGCCCGATCCGGCAGTCTCCAACAGTCCCCTGGAGTATAGCTATCGCTCACCCACAAATTTACACTCTCGGTACGTCCATACACTTTTCGTTCTCTCACTCTCACACTGTCTTGCAGTCTGCCTTTCCTTCAGCAGCAATCTTCTCAAAAATCTCTATCAAACATTTAAAGAAAAATTAATACCAATGCTTCTCAAACTCTTCCAAAAATTAAAAGAATACAGAATGCTTCCAAACTCATTTCACAAAGCCAGCATTACCCTGATACCAAAACCAGACAAGAATGCCCTCCCTCCCCCCACCCCCCCACACACACACAAATTGCAGGCCAATATTCTAAATGAACATAAATGCAAAAATCCTCAAAAACTGCCGAAACCGGTTTGGCTCAGTGGACAGAGCGTCGGCCTGCGGACTGAAGGGTCCCAGGTTCGATTCCGGTCAAGGGCATGTACCTGGGTTGCGGGCACTTCCCCAGTGGGGGATGTGCAGGAGGCAGCTGATCGATGTTTCTCTCTCATCGATGTTTCTAACTCTCTATCTCTCTCCCTTCTCTCTGTAAAAAATCAATAAAATATTAAAAAAAAAATCCTCAAAAACTATTAGCAGACTGAATTTAAAAATACATTAAAAGGTTTATAAACAATGATCAATTTGGATTTATTCCATTAATGCAATGATGGTTTAATATTTGTAAATCAATCAATGTGATACAGCACAAAACAAAATGAAGACTAAAAATCACATGGTCCTCTCAATACATGCAGAAAAGGCATTTGATAAAATTCAACATCCATTTATGACCTAAAGAAAAACTTTAAACAAAACAGGTATAGCAGGAATGTACCTCAACATAATAAAGGCCATATGTACCAAACCCACACCAAATATCTAACAGAAGTATAGCAGTCAAACATCCCTCTCACAATCCGGGACCACTGGCTCCTAACCGCTCACCTGCCTGCCTACCCGATAGCCCCTAACCACTCTGCCTGCCAGCCTGCTCGCCCCCAACTGCCCTCCCCTGCCAGCCTCATGGCCCCAATTGCCCTCCCCTGTCGGCCTCATGACCCCCAACAGCCCTCCCCAGCCGGTCTCATGGCCCCCAACGGCCCTCCCCATCTGGCCTGATGGCCCCCAACTGAACCCCCTGGCCGGTATCCCGGAAGGTCTCCCAGTCTAATTAGCATATTACCCTTTTATTAGTATAGATATGCATGATAGGGGAAAAAACCTCCAATTACTTATTGAATTCTATTCTAATATGAATTAAGCTCTTAATTTTACTGTGCAAGTCAGGTATAAGCAAAAAAAATACAATCCTCTATGACAGTAGTTCTCAACCTTCTAGCCCTTTAAATACAGTTCCTCATGTTGTGACCCAACCATAAAATTATTTTCGTTGCTACTTCATAACTGTAATGTTGCTACTGTTATGAATTGTAATGTAAATATCTGATATGCAGGATGGTCTTAGGCAACCCCTGTGAAAGGGTTGTTCAACTGCCAAAGGGGTCGCGACCCACAGGTTGAGAACTGCTGCTCTATGAGTATTTTTTTAAGGGCACAGACTTAACAAGTCTTTTTTTTTTTTTTTAAGGGTATAGACTTAACAAGTAGATGATGAGAAGATGAGAAGTCAACCAGAGGACACTGAGGCCACAAAGTTGTTAGCAACAATGGGAAGCTACTCCAGCCCTGGAATTGTAGAAACAGAGGAGACCATTGCTTAAATCCAGGAGCAAAAACTGAAATTATGCAGACCAGTCTGGGGCATGTGGCAAGGAGACATGGAGAAGTTGATGGAAATAAAATTTATGATGAGCAAAACAAACAAAATAAATACCTCATTGTATTACTATACTAAATAGTTTAATGTTTAAATACTTGCATATGTGTATTTTAATATAATAGCACTCCTTTAAAATAGTATGCATTTTACTTTATACATTTAAGAACATCCTTCCTAATAGGGGTACTGTAGGTTTCACTAGACTACCAGGGGTCCCATGACTCTACTAATGTTGCCAAGCCTCCCATGGCTCACCTAGGGACTTAGCAATTGGGATTGTCCAGTCTGAAATCCTCTCCTTGAGCTTTCTGTGGCAGCCAGAGCCAACTTCCACAAATATGCCCTTCATGATAACCTAAAATATTTCTCAAAGATCAAGTAAATAATGCCTTACTCCTGGTAGCCTTCCTAGGTTGATTAGAGGAGAGCTAATAAGTTTCTCACCTTTCTGATCAAGGGATTCACATGGTTACTTTTCCACATTTCATGCTAGTTGCATAGTTAACTCAAACCCTCATCCATGAGTCCCTACTTTTGCTAATTAGAACATTTAGCCAATTGAACAATATTATATTCTACCAGAGGTCCAGTGCACGAATTCATGCATGGGTGGTGTCCCTCGGCCTGGCCGGCGATCAAGGCCTATTTGGGGGAAGGGCCCCCGGGAGGTTGGCCGGCTGGGAGAGGTTGGCTGTGGGAGCACACTGACCACCAGGGGCAAGCTCCTGCATTGAGTGTCTGCGCCCTGGTGGTCAATGCACATTATAGCAAGTGGTTGACCGTTCATTTCAGCCATTCCGGTCATTCGGTCACAATGGTCACTTAGGCTTTTATATATATATACATAGACTTATGCAGGCACTGACATAAGAATATACAAGCAGAATGTTGCTTCTTGGTGTTAAAAAATCATAAGGATATAAACATATTCATTTATAACACACTCATTTTCAAGTCACACTAAAAGTAAATATCCCTTTTGAACATTAATATATAATTTTTTCATTCCAAATTTGAACCATCTAATGTTTTAACCAATAGTGTTGCAACTTCTGTTTCATCAGAATTGATATTTTACCACATATAGCAGCTGCTATGATGATTAAAACAACAATAATCCAAGTACCCTCTTCCACAGCCTAAATCTTATAAAAAGATATGCCACAGGTGTAAGGAAAAGGGTGGATACTCCTAAAGCTAATCATTCTGTTGGTGGATTGGACTATAGGGACTGCTGCCAAAGAGAACAAGACCAGTTTACAAAGGTGTGCTGAACAAGACATAGCCTTAATCTGAACTGACATCACCATGATCAAAATATCACAAAATTCAAAATCTCTTGTAAATATGCTTCTTTTATTTGGGTCTGGCATGAAAGTTGCATGCACATGTGTAAATTGTGGTTATATACATTAGGCACAGAATAGAGAAGAAAGATTTACATATTTTAAAGCACACCACTGCAAAAATAAGTTATTTTTTACATTCAAACTCCTTCCTTCAGTTTTGCCTGCTTAAATTCCATCTTCACCCTACTCCCATATGTTAAGTGTTTCCCCTAACCCTTCTTCTTGCTTTCAGATGAATTGGTTCTTCCTTTCTCCTCCCATTGAGACTAATTTCCTGATATTTTAATATTGTCTTCTCATTTGTCATGATCACTTTTATCACAATCTGTTTCCACTCATCTTTCCTATTTACCTTTCCTTGTGTTTGCCTTTTCTTCCCCTTCTATCCTGCTGTCAACATAATGCTCCCTTTTTCCTGTAACCAACCAACAGATGTCCTTTATGAGTTCTGGCTTTCTGGATACTTTCTTGGAGTGTTAGCTCCAGGGCCTGAAACTGTCCTGGCAAGCTTTTTCTTGTCTACTTGGCAGGAGAGTGGGACATATTTCCTGGTTACACACATATACACATGCACACACACACACACACACACTTCACCATGGACCCAGTTCAGCTTCAGTAAATGTTAAATGATGAATAATAGATACCATACTAATCACATAGAGACATTAAGATAATCCATTGATTTTCAACACCTCCCTACTGCCTATCCCACAGGGTTAAGGCACAGACAAAACATATAACAAAATTAATAAAAGATTTTACCCATAGTGGGCATGAACCAATTAGCAACACACAATAATTTTATAAGCATGAAGTATAAGTAGTTTCAAAGTGATTCTCAGGTTCTTGCTCTTAAAATTCACAGAGTGCTTTTCCATGTCAATGAAGTGAAATTATGTAGGCTGATGCTTCTGCTGGCCACATCAATTTTTAACACCTGTTGGGAACCAAGGAAAAGTATTGGGCATTAGATGATTGAAACATCCTGCAAACAAATCAGAGATGAGCCAATGGTCTACACAACACACTGAAACTTTCACAATTCATTGCCTAGTTTGCAGACTGATCTCAAATTTTCAGATGACAAGGGTCTTTCATAATTCCTTATAAGACAAAGATCATTCAGTGATAGTGACAAGACAACAAGCCTCAAAATACTGCAGTATGCAGCCATTGTAGAGACACAATCCCACAGACAAATTGGAGAAAATGTCCTCATATCTATTCATTTGGAGTATTGATTTCCTCAGAGCACCCCTTTTATTTCCTCCTTCTGCTAGTCCCTCACAGTGCCTGGATGACTGTCAGTGAGAGTCCAATATTTCAACTTTTTTTCTAGGCAAATATTGTCCATAAAGTTTCACCATATGTGCAGTCCATGAGTTGGTCAGCAACAAAAACGGGTAAAGTCCTTTATGAGCTCTTGGTAAAGTTTGGGGAAATTGGTTGATAAGAAAACCACAAATATGAGGAAACAAAAAAAAATACAAAACTGAAGGAAAACTTTTGTTGCAGGTCTTGTAATCAGAGAGGATTATGGAAGAAAAATAGTTCAGGAGAAAGCAAAGAGTAAGCACACAAGGAAAGATTCTATTTGCCATGAAGAGAGATGTTAGAACCACTTCATTAATCCCAAGGCACAGTGTTTTCACATATTTAACATTCATGAAATCATAATGTGTCTTGCAATCAACAGCCTTAGAATCACTGTGAGCCAACCAGCACTCATGACAATTGTTATTATCTATGAAAACATGAACGTCTTTGCTATTACTGGTATTATGAATGGATAAACTGCAAACCACTTAAGGATCACTTTAGGAAGGAATATGAATCCTGGCTGACAGTAAGATCAAGAAAGTGCTAAGATAAACACTTGTATAAACATGTTAGTGGCTTGGAAGAAAATCTCATAGACAAAAGTGGAAGAGTTTTATGATATTCTATATCACCAGCACCTGGGATAGTATCTGGGAAATGTCTTAACCCATTAGTGTCATGTAATTATTTTTTAAATAATAAATAAAATACTAAGAGATTTAAATATTTAAATAACAAAAGGAAAATTATATGATATACATTGGTTAAGGCATTTCTAATATTTCTTCAAATTCAGGATCTACCTCCTTCTAAGTCACTTTGATGGCAGAATAATCAATGCCCATGTATCACTACCCAACACTTCCCCATTATTATCACTTAACATATTTAAATGATAAAAACCTATGTCTAAAAGAGTTTTACAAAGCTATAAGTTCAAAATAGGATTTTCAGTATCATATTTTTGTCCCTTATTTTTGTCTTTATGGCACATGAAATGATGGGGTAACTTGTAACTAATGGTATCTTACAACTGATAAAATATGGTAGTTCAAGCTATCAAGTAGATCTCTGAGGCAGAAATGAGGAATAAAACATAGGGTTTTACATAGCTTTGCAGACAAGGAGACATGCATGGAAAGTAAGGACTACTCATAGGGAAGGTGGGTGAGTGGGAAGAGATCAACCAAATAACTTGTATGCATATATGCATAACCCATGGACACAGACAATAGAGTGGTGAAGGCCTGGTGGGTGGGGCAGGAGGGGGAAGGGGCAGACTAGAAGAGGTCAATAGGGGAAAAAGGGAAAATATGTAATACTTTCAACAATAAAGATTTTAAAAATAATAAATAAGCAAACAAATAAATAAATAAATTCCTTGAAAAAGGTGAAGGGATTAAGCAAAAATAAAATAAAAAAATAAAAGAAAGTAAGGACGCAGACCCTCAATCCCAAATGATAAAGGCTGATTTCCCCTCCATCACTATACTGTCCATGTTGACACACTTAAAACAGAGGGATTGGTGAAAAGCTTTGCAGGAGAAGGTGTCATTAGCAAGAAAGAAGCAGGCAGTTCACAATGCATCTCAGGGTTGGGAAATACCATTCAGACCTTTCACTGGTCACACACCTCTAATGTAGGGTTGTAGGTGAAGGTGGGTGTTATATCCATGCCATTCACAGAGATGCTGACACTGGAAATGGAGGTACTGCCCACTCCCCAGATTTCAATGTAGCCCAGATTCAAAGGGTTTGTATCCGTGATGTATTTGTTGAAAATTACATGACTCTTCATCGTATTCTGTCAAATTAGAGATTAAAAATAAATAAATATATAAAGCAAAATTTGTTCAAAATTTTCCCCACCTCTTTTTAGGCACAAATGCAGGTCATGAGGTAAGACAACTTCAGAGTTACCACCTCGTGTCCTTGTAGTGGAGACCATGATTTCAGGACTTTATCACCTGTTTCAACTATCATCTAAATTTTCTTTGACTAAAAAGCACCTGCAGGGTCTCCAGAATTGCCCTGAAGTCCAAGGAGATAAAGGGTCTCAGCCATTAGGAACCTTACTTTCTATATGTAGAGAAGTCAGAAAATGTGCAGAACATTCCAAGACAATATAAGGACAAGGACTCGATAACATCGAAATAGCTTGTCCATCTCTGCCTCACTAAACTGGAATAAGTTACTGACAAAACATGAATGGGTCTAGTCACAGAAAACTTCTGGTAGCATACTAAATCTATCTGAAGTCTGGAGAAAGGAAAGGATGCAAATTAGCAAGGTAGGCAGTGAAGGAATTCTAGGTGGTACTTTATGCCCTTATGATCTCCAGCATCCTACGAAGCCAGTAGAACTCTAGTGCCCCTTCATAGTATCAGTCACACTCACCTGAATGGCAGAAAAGCGGGCCAAGTAATAGAGTCCCTTTTCATAGGTGTCTGCAAACAAACAAGGTAAACATGATCTGGATTTATGCTTAGAATTCTCATTGCCTACTTGTCTTTTTTTTCTTTACTGATTTCCATTTTGTGATTTAAGACATATGTATAGAGATTAGTCAGACTCTTGCCCCCAACCTCAATGTGCACAGGATGTTTGAAATGGGTGTGTGTAGACACGGCTGTCTGGTAGACGCACTTCACATGATGCGGTTTCCCTTTAATCCACTTGTCTCCCTTGTTATGTACCACTCCCAACATCTTCCTGGTCACCTCAGAACTTCCCGATTCTTTCTGCTAGAAGCACGCATATGTGAACATACGTGATGTAGACACATATCACAATCATCAAGAATGGTGTCTTGGTCAGTTTGTCTTAAGAGATATCAGGCAATTTCTTAACCGTAAACTCCAGAGAACAAAGAAACCCAAAGAAAAGCCTCCAGTGAAGGTGGCCTTATCAGAGCCTTGTTACAGGTATTCCCATCCTACTTCCTACCCTGTGGCTTTCTCACTTGTCCCATGTACCCATCTCTTTCCAATTTGCTTACTGCTCACTCGATCAGAGGGCCTTGGCTAGCCTCTAGAATTGTGCTGTCCAAGGTAGCCTCTGACAAAATGTAGCTCTTTAAATTACAATTAATTAAAATTAAATAAAATTAAAAGTTTAGTTCCTCAGATACAGTTGTCACATTTCAAATTCTTAGTAGCCACCTATGCCTAATGGCTATCACTGTGGGCAACAGAGTTATAGAACATTTCCATCACTGCAAAAAGTTGGATTAGACAGCACTGGCCTAGAAATAGCTAATGATAATTAAACCATCCTCCTGAAAGTTCACCAATTCCTGTAACTCCTAATGAAAAATTCCCTCAAATAAATAGCACAGCTGATAGAGGTATTGTCACTCTTACTGGGACAATAAACCATGCAATTAGGGAATGTGCTTTTGGACATACACCATACAGAAGTATATTTCAATTGGTTCAAAGAAATTTTCGCTTTGGCTCGGACCATGGATAATGGTGAGAGATTCCCAGCTAAGCTTCATTTACATGCAGCATAAGGATCAAGCACACTATGTACTACTTCAAACAGTTACATATATAAAAAACATGAAAAATTGTTTTAACATGAAAAATGAAAAGCAGGCCTATAATATATCCAGGAGCCCAGTCAATGGTACAGACATGAATCTGAGGCAACCCTTACTCACCAATGCTTTGCCCATCATCCCAGAAGAGCCAACCTTCAGCAGTTCCCTGATCGTCCAAGGCAACTTTGAAGCCTAGGGATTTCTGGCGGCTGTAGTGAAGTGGGAGGGAGGCATTAGTTAAAAACCAAGCCACAGTCTCAAACCAAGAGTATTCAAGAAACATAAAGGAAGTCCTTCATGCTATAAAGACTGAGAGTTAGATTTCAAGATGCTCGTGACCTACTTCTAGTTTTGTCTCCATTTGCTCTATGACTTCATACCAGGAATGAATGAATTAATGAATGAAGCAAGGGGAGTTTTCCTTTAAGGTTCTATAAGCACCACCAGACACTACAAGCAAACTCATGAGATTCCTTCCCTCCCCCATTGTGAGGAAGGATCTGATGTTGTGATCTTCTTTTATGACCTAACTTCCTAAATATGTATATAGTGAGTTTTGTCTTTGGTTCATTCCATTTTTAACTAAACTTTTGGACTTAAATTCATAGGGCTCTAAGAATTTTAGCTTGACATCAGACAGACATAGATTTTAGTCCATCTTCAACTACTTACTAACACTGTGACTCTGAATTAATCAATGCCTGCCCCCCAGGTCTCAATGAAGCCTCTTTGCTTTTCTATAAAATGAGGATAATAACAGTACTTACACGATAAGTGTTTATTTTTAACTTTTTTAAAGAAAAAAATAGAAATTTCCATACTATTTCAGTTCTAGGTACACAGCAAGTTTTCATTTGCTGTTAGCTATTATTTATTATATAGGCTTAGGTCTAGAATTTTTAAATCCGTGTATGGTGAGGAATCTCACCCTCAGGCATCAGCTGCATTATGGCTTACACAATTTTCCAGCAATAGTTTCTTCCATTTCAATTATCACTAATTAGACCTAGCATTTAACCCACTTAGATTTAAAATAGTTGTTGATAATTGTTCAAAGAGCAGAGAGTCTGAAAAAAACAAACCAACTAACAAAAATGTTTAGTACAATTGCTTTTGGACCCAAGAGTACTGCTTACAGTGGACTCCACCAAGATCTGAGCTAACTGGTCCCATCGCTCACCTTAAGTGGGTGTTCTGTGCAGGCTCTTGCCAGGGCAGGATATAGCCCCCACGGACGTGAAGATTAATGTGGTCAAGAGGGGCTGGCAAAGTCTTCCACGTTCCCCTTGCTTTAATGTCCACACCCTGAGGGCCAGAAGAAGGTCGGAGATGACGAAGGAGACAACACACCTCTGAACAGTGCATTTACCAGACATCCACTCTTCCAAACTTGCTGCCTATTCATAATCCTTCCACACATACCTGTTATACATTTTCCCACATTCACCCAGCAGTATGGTGATTATGAAAGGGAAGGAGGTGAGGGGGGAGTGAGAGGTAAAGGGGGTCAAATATATGGTGACGGAAGATTTGACTTTGTGTGGTGGGCATACAATTCAATATACAATTATAGAATTGCACACTTGAAACATATAATTTTTTACCTGATGTCACCCTATACATTTAACAATAAAAATGTTGCCCTGAAGTGGTTCCAGAAGACCCTGTTTTTCCAGATGAGTTTCTGGGCTCAGACAAGCCTAGAAACATTCTACAACAGAGAATGTGTTCACCCTGCATTTCCAAATGCAACTGCATTGCTCCAGTGCACAAGGGTAGGGCCCTTCCTTCTGTGTGCATTTTACACTCGCTTTCCTTGGGGAATTACGTTTAACAACTCCTCTTTGAGCATCTGTGCTGGAGAAGGAGACATGGAATAAAAAGAGAGGAAAAGGCCCCTGCACTTATGAACTTTTCCACGGGCGGAAAATTAAACAAAAACTATAGTTGACAGAATAATTTCCTGTGTTTACTAGTGTTACCACCATTGTGAATAGTGGTGGTAAAAGGAAAGATAAAAACTAACACATTATGAACACCCACAAAGGCCAGGGAATAAGTGAGATACTTCATGTGTTATTTCACAATTCTGTGAAGGAAGTGGTTCTCCCCAACTTGGAGGTGAGAAAACGGAGGCTACAAGGTTAAAGGTGACCTGTGCAAGATTAACATCAGGGGAGTTACAGAGCCACAATGTGAGCAGAGGTCTGTCAGATTCTAAAGCCTGTGCACGCTCCCATTTTCCTGGGCTGTATAAACAATCAGAAAAACTTACCGTGTAGTAATCATACCAGCGGGCTCTAGGGAAGTATGCAGTGACATTTCTTGCATTCTAAAATCAAACACAAATAAGTCATGGGCAGTGGGCTCAGTTATCTAAGGCAGACTAACCAACTTGGTCAAAATAACAGTGATGGCCTTTGACCCACACACTTCATCTCTCTAGAGGACAGGACTGTAGGGGAGCCTCCTTCTCTCCCTACTTCAAATGGGAGATTTGCCTGCTCTATGCTTGTGGCTTCTGTAAAGTCCTTCAGGATCCAGGGTTTTGGAGAAGAATTATTATCTGCTTACAGACTTAACCCACATACACCCTCTTGAAAGAAACAAAGTTGGGTCTGGGGCAGAGGAAAACTTTGTAGATTTACATGCCTATACTTCAGAGATTCTGATTAGTGCACTAAGTTTTGAAGAAGATGCAATTAACTGATGCTTTGATCAGAAGCCTAATCATCAACAGTAAAGGTAAGGAAATGGCTTTTGCTACTTGAAGACCTCCTATAGATGGAAGGGAAGGCCTAGCCCTCAACGGTAAGATTATACACGTTGTTTCAAATGATCCTTATGAAAAGTTTTGCTTTAATGGTGACAGAGGACTGTAATGAATCTTTACAGTATTGTCCCCACCTGATCACACTCCTTACTTCAGTTAATGAAGAAATTCGTATATCTTCATATATATCATATGGTTTCTTCCTTCTCTATTTGTCCTATGAATCAGAATCTGTTATGATGATTTTAAAGATGAGGGAGCTGAGGACAAAAACCCCTAAGTGATGGACTTCAACTCAGAGAGAGAGGAAGAGACAGAGGTAGAATAAGAAGCCACTGCTCAGGACCCCCACCAGATCAGGCCTCTTCTCCTCCCCCCATTCACCAGGCTTCGTAACTGGGACCTCTGCTCATCAGAGGCCTCCATACTTACAGGCACCAGGACGGGGCTGACCAGGAAGGCTGGGCCCAGCAGGAACTGTTCATCTATGTTCCAGGTCACCCGGTCTGACACAAACCTGGAAAGACAAACCAAGGTACCATAATCAGGGTGCCAATAGGGCTCCAGGCCAAGGCCTTGAAGAAACTCCTCAAGTTCAGACCCAAGTCAGAAATCCAGCTTCTCTACCTTAAATTACTTTTTCTACCTTAATCAGATATATATTCACTTTCTGCATATTATCTTCTTCAAACTCCAGACATGATTAGACTTAGACATGTTCTCACCTATAGATAGCTCCATGTTTCTTAACCATGGCACATCCTAAATGCAAGAATGGCCTTCAACACTCAAATCTCCCCCTGGAATGCCTATGATCTGAGCTTCTATAAAAGATAGGTAGGTCTACATATTCTTAATCTAGAAAGAAATTATTCTGTGTTGTATCATTTTGAAAAAATAAATTAAATTCAATAGTCTCTTATTAAAGATCCAAGGTATCAGTGACACCATGCTAGATAACATATTCAGGTGCCTAGAAAGCTTATGGCAAAAGGCAATCATGTCTTTAATTTAATTTGGAAGAACTGTTTTCTTCAACTGACACCACAGAGAATAAAATTATCCCTTAGTCATCGGGATTCCAGCTAAACACTCACTCATGGAGAAGAGGCCGCACGACAGTACTGCCCTCTGTGTGGGCCTGGTGCATCAGGGTGTAAAGATATGGCAAGAGGGTATATCTGGTCTGCAGGACACTTTTGGAGATTTTCACAAATGCATCATCCCAGGATACAGGGTCTTGTCTCTAAAGGACAAAAGGAGGAATTTTAGAGCTCACTGTAGGGGAGCTGGGGTACTTGAGGTCACTGAATGTTTATTACAAATGAAAATCACAATTAACTAAATCAAAGATGATTATAGATAAGACACACAGAATATTAGACTGAAAGAGGTCACTGAAGCTCTCCTAGGACAGCTGATAAAATTTTCCCGTAAGACACTCTTTTTGGAGATATATTTGCTACAACGCTGCGTAAACAAAAAGAATAATCTAAAGAACACTGGAGAAGATGCTTCATTGAACCATAAGGATCTTTTCATGTACCTATTGGCCATTTGTATGTCTTCTTTGGAAAAATGTCTATTCAGTTCCCCTGCCCATTTTTAAAATCAGATTACTTGGTTGTTCCTTTGGGTGAGTTGTGTGAGTGCCTTACATAGTTTGGATATTAACCCCTTATCAGATATGTGATTTTCAAATATTTTCTCCAATTCTGTAGGTTGCCTTTTCTTTTTTTAAAATTGTTTTTTGGCTGTGCAGCAGTTTTTAAGTTTTATGTTGACCCATTTATTTATTTCTGTTGATTGTTCTTTTGGAGTCCCATCAAAAAAATCATTTCCAAGGCCAATGTCAAGAAACATTTTGCCCATGTTTTCTTTTAGGAGTTATATGGTTTCAAGTTTTATGACTAAGTCATTAAACCATTCTGAGTTAATTATGTGAATGATACAAGATAGGGAACCAATTTCTCAACACCATTTATTGATGACACTATCCTTTATTAATGAGTATTCTTGGCTCCCTGGTAAAATATTAGTTGATAGCTTAAGCAAGGTTTTATTTCTGGGCTCTAGATTCTGTTGTATTGATCTGTGTTTCTATTTTTAAGCCAATACCATACTATTTTGATTACTACAGTTTTGTAATATAATTCGATATCAGCAAGCATGATGCCTCCAAATTTATTCTTCTTTCTCAGATTGCTTTGGCTATTAGGGGTCTTTTTTGTTTGAAAAGTATTTTAAGTTCTTTTTTGATATCTGTGAAAAATTCCATTGGAATTTTGATAGGAATTGCACTAAATCTATAGATGGTTTTGGGTAGGACAGACATTTTAAGAATATTAATTATTCTGATCCATGAACATGAGATCTTTCCATTTGTTTTTGTCTTCTTCAACTTCTTTAATAAATAACTTGTAGTTTTCAGTATACAGATCTTTCACCTCATTGGTTAAATGTATTCCTATGTATTGCTTATTGCTTCTTGATGCTCTTGTGAATGGGATGGTTTTATTTCTTTTCATGTGTTTCATTATTAGTGTATAGAAATGCAAAAGTCATTTCTGTATGTTGATTGCATATTCTGCAACTTTACTGTATTGATAATTTAATAGTTTTTTGGTAACATCTTTTGTATGCTCTCTATATAAGATCATATAAGCTGTAAACAGAGACAATTCACTTCTTTTCTGATTTGAATGCCTTTTGTTTCTTTTTCTCATCTGATTGTTCTGGCTAGGACTTGCAGTATGATGTTGAATAGAAACAGTGAGAGTGGGAACCCTTGTCTTGTTCATGATCTTATAGAAAAAGCTTTTAAACTTTCACTACTGAGTATTATGTAAACTGTGGGCTTGTCTTACTTCATTATGTTGAAGTACATTCCTCTTATAACCAATTTTTTGAGAGTTTTTATCATGAAAGGATATTGTATTCTGTCAAATGGTGTTTTTTTTTTCTGTAACTATTGAAATAATCATATGATTTTTATCTTCATCCTATTAATGTGGTATATCACATTTATTGATTTGTATATGTGGAACCATCTTTATGCCCAAAGGTTAAACCCTACTTGAGCATGTTGTGTGAATCTTTCAATGTGCTGTGAAATTTGGTGTGCTAATTTCTGGATCTATATTCATCAGGGATATTGGTCTGTAGTTTTCTTGTAGTGCCCTTATCTGGCTTTAGTAACAAGGCAATTCTGATCCTCTACAATGTGTTTGGGAGTATGAAATCCTCTTCAGTTTTGGGAAAGAGTTTGAGAAAGATTGGCATTAATTCTTCTTTAAATGTTTGATAGAATTCTCCAGGGAAAACATCTGGCTTTTCTTTGTTGGGAGATTTTTTATTACTGATTCAATTTACTTACTCATTATTGGTCTGTTCAGGTTCTCTATTTCTTCATGATTCAGTCTTGGTAGGTTGTATTTTAATAATTTTTGCCCCAGGCTGTACATTTCCAGGAATTTATACATTTCTTCTAGGTTGCCCAACTTGTTGGCATATAGTCTCTTATAATCCTTGGTATTTCTGTGATATCTGTTGTAATGTCCCTTTTTCATTTATAATTTTAGTTATTTGAGACTTCTTAATTTTTTTCATAGGAATTCCAGCTAATGGTTTGTCAATTTTATTTCTTTTCAAAGAAACAGCTCTTAGTTTTGCTGTTCTTTTCTATTACTTTTTTGGTGTCTATTTCATTTATTTCTGTCCTGATCTTTGCTATTTCCTTTCTTCTGCTAATTTTGTTCTTTTTCTACTCATTTGAGGTACAAAGTTAGGTTGTTTACTTGAGATCTTTCTTTTTTCTGAATGATTCTCTCTTAGAACTGCTTTTGTTACATCTCATAAGTTTTAGTATGTGTTTTTCCATTTTCATTTGTTTCCAAATATTTTGTATTTATCTTATGATTTCTCTTTTCACCCATTGGTTGTCTAATTTGCACATATTTGTCAATTTTCCAGTATTTTTTCTGTTATTGATTTCTAGTTTCCAAAGAAGACATTCAAATGGCCAACAGCTGCATGAAAAGATGCCCAACATCACTAATCATCAGGAAAACACAAATCAAAATCATAATGAAGTATCACCTCACACATGTTAGAATGGTTATTATCAAAAAGACAAAAGAAACCCAGTGTTGGTGAGGATGTGGAGAAAAGGAAACCATTTGTGCACTGTTGGTGGGAATTTAAACTGGTACAGCTACTACGGAAAATAGCATGGCAGTTCCTCAGAAAATTAAAAAAAGACTACCACATAATCCAACTATATGAAATTTGTCTCTTGAAGAGATATCTGCACTCCCATGTTCATTGCTGTGCCATTCAAGATAGCCAAGACATGAAAATAACCTAGATGACCATTGATGGATGAGTGGATAAAGATGTGATATGTACACAATGGAATATTATCCAGCCACAAGAAAAAAGGATATCCTGCCATTTGCAGCAACATGAATGGATCTTTATGGCATAATGCTAAGTGAAATAAGTCAGACACAGAAAGACAACTACTGTGTGATAACACTTATCTAAAATATAGGAATCTTAATAAGTAGAACTCACAGAAACAGAGTAGAATGGTGGTAATCAGAGGCTGGGTGTTGGGGAAAATAGAGAGACATTAGTCAAACGGTAAAAATTTCCAGTTATAAAATAAATACAGCGTGGGGCAAAAGTAGATTTATAGTTGTTCATATGGAAAATAATACAATAATTATTAAATCATAATACAAGAATAAACTTTGTGTTTTGCATACTCACAACTGTAAACCAACTTTTTCCCCCTGCTGCTTTTTCTGGGGATTTAATGTACAGCATGATGAATACAGTTAAAAATACTGTCTTATATATTTGAAAGTTGCTAAGAGAGTAGATGCTAAATGTCGTCATTCCAAAAATAAATGGAAATTATCTGAAGTGATGAAGGTGTTAACTAACCCAAGTGTACTAATCATTTCACAATATATACGTGTATTTAAAAAGAAAAGAAACAATAGGGTTTAACGGGTTTATGGATATCAGTGGGGAATATGACCAACTCAAAACTGGACCTGTGTTCCTAGTGATACCCTCATCCTACCCTTGTCCCGATGGTGTTGTGGTTCCTTGAAAAGGGGTAAAAGGCCCCCAGTTGCATCCAGCGAGCACACATCTCATATTCAGCATCTCGAAAGAACCCACAGATATCTGCTCCTGTCTGAGACAAGAGGGAATAAAATGCTCCTGTTGATGATTTCTGAACGACGTCATCACCTTCTTGGGGATTAGGGGTGATCCAAAGGGCACTTACATAGGATATGCCAAAGAGGCTGAACTCCATCATGCCTGCAAGGAGAACCACAGCTGTGTCAGACACACCATTCCCGACCCGCTTCCTACCCACTCCTCAGAGAATCCTTTAACAAGGATCCCACCTCCCCTCCCCACCACACACCAATGATAGACTTCCTCAGCTGGTCCCATGCAGCCGTGTTGTCTCCCAGCCAGTGTCCTGCCCAGCGGCCAGAAGAGGGGAACGTGGAGCGGGTAATGACGATCCCTCTTTCTCCTGTCACCTCTTGCACAGCTCTGGTTGGAGAGGAACAAGGAGATGATTGAGATCAGAACAGGGGAAGAAAGGCCACAAAGCTTCTCCTCCTAGAACTTCTGACCCAAGGCCATGGTGACAACATGTTTCCTGTTAATGGAGGAAATAGAGAAATCTGAGCTATAGTGAGGTTCCCACTGACCAATCCCAGGTGGATGGAGAGAATAACACATATACCTTTAGAGTATTTACACTGTTTTACAAAGGACTTCACTATGCAATAAACTCACTGGACCACCTAAAAACAATAAGTAATCACCAAATCTTACTATTTTTTTACTTGGTACTTAGTTTTCTATATTTTGGGAAGAAGGTGAATTCCTTTATAAAGCTTTCCTTAGAATAATTCTTATTATTCAGGGACTGAGTTCACAAAATTGGACAAGGCTAATTCAATAGAACACTAGATGTCTATCCCAACATGAATGACCCCCCAAAAGAGGTAAGTGACTTTTGAAATAAAGGAACTATCCGATCCTCTACATTCTCTTTGCTTCTTATATCTCATGTTGTTATAGCATCAGCTGCACTGTGTGATAATGGCCTATGTCATCTCCACTAGGACTGTCGTCTCTCACTGGCGGGACCAGCCCTTATTTAAAACTGTCCTGTTAACTATGATTACAGGGCCTGGCTCCATGCTCATGAATATTTGTCCAAAAAGGAAGAATGGCTACATAGTAGTAATTAAAATTGTTTTAACCCCATTGGAAGAGGAAATGAGAGGAAAAGCCGGGGAATTCATCAGTCACTGGCTGCCCCTGCGGGTTGTGCCAGTTAGAGAAGGAAGATGACAACTCACTCGTATGTGGGTCTGGTCTGGGACCACCCATACAGGCTGTGCACATCGTAGTGCCGCACCCGGGAGCCGTCGGGCAGGATCTGCTCGCTCTCCATGCACAGGGTCTTGCTGCTGAGACCCCTGTCCCTGGACTCCAAATCTAAGGAGAAAGAGCTAGTTATGGAAAAGCCACCTCTGATCCTGTTTATCACTGACTTCTCTTCAAGGGACTGAGCTCTCCATCTGCATGGGGCCCTCTCCATCCCAGAGGCCCAGGAACATGCTCAGCTCTGGGACCTGCAATGGTGCCCACAGGCCATTCAACATCAAGTCTTCTGGAGGGGTCTCCAGAAGGAAGCCAAGGGCATGGGGAAGAACAGAGTTGTCAAACGCTATGGGGCAGCCTCCAACCTAGGCTTTCAACATGGTAATTCTTTCATGTCATTCTTATCTTAATTCTGTGAAAAGGATATCATTATCCTTCTTTCACAGTTTAAAAAACTGAGGCTGGGAAACATCAAGGAATCTGTTGAAGGTCATAGAACTCACAGAGAGAATAATTTCTGGGGCCAAGATATGAACACAGGTGTAATACCAAAGTCCATCAACTCCATGATAAGGGGAAGCCACTATTTTCCACCCACCAGTAGCATAACAAATTCTCATGGAGGAATTAACTTGAGCCTGAAGAAGCTGTAGCTGTAGGATCCTTTGGAGACATAACTACTGTTAAGTGTTTTCTGAACAAACTCAGAAAGTTCACTCAGTGGGGTCAGTAACTTGCACACACCCAACTGGGTAAAGTGATTGAAATGTGTCTGTTGCTGGCTCCCCCAAACCAAAGCACCACTGAGATATGCCCTGAGCAGTCAGGATAAGCCCCTGGCTGCTGAGTTCTTGCAGGGGTCAGTCCTTGTGGCCATGGCTCTGCCAGTAGAGGAGGCCCAGGGTCCTTACATGGCATATAGGGAGGGCGGTTCAGAGAGGCATTCTTGCAACCTGGAGGAACTGCCCCATTCACAAAGCTTGATGGTTCATTCATATCCTAGAAAAGTCAAACACAGATATATTTTACTTTACAAAACAGTTACTTTCTGGCCCTGCCAGTGTGGTTCAGTGCCGGGACCCGGTCCATGCTTGCTGTTTCAAGGGACCTGGCATATATGGCATACTGTTCTTAATATGTTTGCTCACCTTCTTGGCACTATGTGTTTCAACCAAGGTCTCTGAGAAAGGTTGTTTCCCCAGGTAGGGATTTTCCCCTGAAGTTAGGGAGGGAATAAAACCTCTTAACTAAGTGCCAGGTGGGTAATTAATCACTTTACGAACAATCATGCTTAAGCTACATAATCTTTACTCCCTGGAATGGAGATAAGGAACGCCCTAACCTTTGAAATAGAGATTGATAGGATTGGAATCAACTGGTATAAATACAGATGTAAGAAGACAGAACCCACACAGAACTAGAGACAGAAGAACTTCGCTGGAGAGAACATGGCAAAAGATCCTGGACTGAACCTGACTACAGAAATGGGCAAGAGAACCTGACTAGAACCTGGTGACTGAACCTGGCTGGAGAACCTGGAGAACCTGGCTGGAGAACCTAGCAAGAGAACATGGACACAGAACCTGGCAGGAGATCCTAACCAGAACTTCGCTGGAGATCCAGACCAGAACTTGGCTGGAGATCCTGGCTAGAGATCCTGGCTAGGCTGCTGATCAACTGAACACTGTCTCCGTGTCCCTCCTTCTTCGCTGACTCCGTCTACACCTTTGGGGACCCCTGGACCTGCTGGGGTTGGACCCCAGCAGTTCAGTGGTTGAACGTCAACCCATGGACCAGGAGGTTGCAGTTCAATTCCCGATCAAGGCAAGCTCAAAATAGTAGGCGGGGGGGGGGGGGGGGGGGGGGGGGCGCGAGGGGGGAGGATGGGGTGTGTGTGCAGGAGGCAGCTGATTGATGATTCTCTCTCATTATTGATGTTTTATATCTCTCTCCCTCTCCCTTCCTTTCTGAAATCAATAAAAACATATTTTTAAAAAATAGTTACATGCTGTCCACACAGAGGGAAAGAAGTAGTGAATAAATCATTCACCATCCAGTAATCATTAAATCCATATGAGAATTGACTAGAAAGATAAATTAAGCCCTACAAAAGGACTGGCTAGCAGTGGTTCTCAACCTTGGCTGCACATTAGAATCACCTGGAAATCTTTTTAAAATCCTGATTTCTGGGCCTCATCCTCCAGAATTCTGTTTCTTTGTTATGGGGTGGGGCCACAACATTAGTAACAAAGAAACAGAATTTCCGGAGAATGGGGCCCGGAAATCAGGATTTTAAAACGATTCCCAGGTGATTCTAATGTGCAGTCAAGGTTGAGAGAATCACTGGGCTAGAGGATTAAAAAAAAAAATTCTCCCTCAGGGTGTGAAGCAAGTTGCAGTTCTAAGAAATTCCTAGTAATGACCTTGGGATTTTACAGCAGGAACGTGCGGCAAGGTACACGGTCTGAAGACTATCAGGATGTTCCTTAGTGGAGGAACTATAGTCTGATACATCCAAAGCTCTCTAGGGTGATCATTATCCTTCTTGATTAAAGGTCAGTGATACATACACTTAGACACACAAAGATAGACACACCCCTATCCAAATATACACAGACACAAACACTCACAATCCACATGCCATCGAACTTCAAACTCTTGTCTGGATCCCGTGGATTGGTGTGTAGTTCTTTCAACTCCCTCTTCCACCAGGTGGCAGTTGAATTACGGAAAAAATCTGGGAAGGCCGCGTAAGCTCGGTATAGCTATAAAAATTAAATACAATTTACTTGTCCCAAACATATTAGACAGCAAACAGGCATTTACTAAGAGTTTAACTCATGCACAGCCTTGTACTACGTGGTGACAGATAATCCAAACAGAGCCTAAGTAATGTTCTTTGCTTATTTCAAATATAATAAAAGCATAATATGCTAATTAGACCAGACAGCTGAATGACCTTCTGGGCGTCCTTCCAGACGACCTTCCGGATGACCTTCTGGACAAAGCTGGGGCTGCCAGCCACCGCGGCTGCAAGGGCCAAGCTCCTGGCACAAGTTTCAAGTACAATAGTACAGGGGAAATTTTAGCACAATTAGGACCCTCCTTAGCATTTGGAAAACATCCATAGACTGATTTCCTCTCCATATCAACATGAACAGTAGCAATCAACCCCTGGACTCACTATCTCGTTTATTAGATGCCCAACCCTCAACTTTTGTCCTGCAATTTCCTAACTGTTTCTCAAAGACAAAGCATGAGCCAGGGGGAGTCTGCAGCCCGAAAGGGGCAGACATCAGGTGCTTTGTCAACAGGTTGGAAAGAAACATCCAGTTGTGTCTCATTCCCACTAAGGAAAAGGGGTGAGAGGCAAGATTGCATTTTATTACATTAGCTCCGTGGTCGGCAAACTACGGCTCGAGAGCCACATGCGGCTTTTTGGCCCCTTGAGTGTGGCTCTTCCTAAGCCTTCGGAGTACCCTAATTAAGTTAATAACAATGTACCGACCTATATAGTTTAAAAAATTTGGCTCTCAAAAGAAATTTCAATCGTTGTACTGTTGATATTTGGCTCTGTTGACTAATGAGTTTGCCGACCACTGCATTAGACCATCTAACTAGTATGCACCTGTGTTTTCTCTAGCTTCAGAATCACTTGAAAATAGCTCTTGTGTGTCAAGTAAATTGGGAGGATTTAGGAAAAAGATGCACCTTCCCCTTACTTTCCTCAAATAATAAAAGTTATGTTTTCATTTTAACCTGGAAAGTAGACCCAAGGTTTAACTCCTTAACTATACTGTAAGATCTTTGAGAGCAATGACCTTGTTTTATTTTCTTCTGATTGATCTTTGTATTCCCCCATAGTGATTAGCTTAGAACATAAAATAAATGCTCAGTGCCTAATTGTGAATTCACACCACTTTAGTAGCAGCAAATATTCATACATTTTTATATAGGCCAGATTGCTTGTTATAGAACTTTATGGTCCTTTGTATGTCTCAGTAAATAGGTTCCTCTATGTCAGGGGTGGGCAAACTTTTTGACTCGAGGGCCACAATGGGTTCTTAAACTGGACCGGAGGGCCGGAACAAAAGCATGGATGGAGTGTTTGTGTGAACTAATATAAATTCAAAGTAAACATCATTACATAAAAGGGTACGGTCTTTTTTTTTTTTTTAGTTTTATTCATTTCAAACGGGCCGGATGCGGCCCGCGGGCCGTAGTTTGCCCACGGCTGCTCTATGTTCACCAGTGCATTTTAAGAGTTAAGCTCAATAATGCTAGTAGTAAGGGTAGGGGAAGCAACAGAAAGACTTGGTCATGGGAACTTCCAGCTTTTATACACAATGGACAAGAGGCAAGTAGAAACCCATATGTCTAGATATAAGGCAAAAAAAAGGAACACAAAGAAAAAAAACAGAAACAGATCAGTATACGGGATCACAGAAATGTGAGAGGGTAGTGAGCCACTTCATTGAGAGGCTGGGAGAGGGAGGCAGGCCAGCAATGTCTTTTTGTGGAAAATAGCGGTAGAAACATGGAACCAGTAGAGAATCTTTCACGAAGAACAGAGAGCTCCAGCTCAGGCAGGTTGGAAAACATGGTAGGCAGGCAGGGTGATAGAGGATTAGAATAAAGATTAATACCAGCCATGTCTGAGTCATTTCTAAAACAAATAAACTGATTAAAAGATAGACCTTCCTGGTAACCCTGACTTCACCCAATATCCACAAAGGACCCTTTACCTCCACTTGACTGTCCCAGTCTAGAGAGCTGTTTATAACGATATTGGGCAAATCAGGCCAGACCTGTGGAGAGAAAAATGTTCAAAAGCAATGCAGGAGATAACTTCTCTTATATAGCATTTCCTAAGAAATAATAAACCATGGTTCTATAGGTGATAATACTTGGATTTTTCACATAGGCTTGATTTAGAGAGAAGTGCATCTCAGTGTATATACATTCCTTAAACATTCCTTAACTGTGTTGACAGATATTGATTGACAAAATGAGAACTTCTGACCTCAAAGCCAAATGGAAAAGGTTAAACAACAGGCACAAACATATTAACAGTGACCCACCCTTCACCTGGGTCACTGTGAAAATCATACCTTTCCCCAGACAATGTCTCCACTGTTTGGAGCCTTGATGAAGACATCATCCTTCAAGCCGCGATCGAATGCAGGATATTCCTTTGTCTCATTTCCAGAAATGGCTGGGTCCTACAATCAACACACAGGTCAGGAGAGAAAAACAAAGCCAGAGAATGACTGGGGACAGAAAAGAGAAAAACTCCTCCATAGGGAAGGCACTACTTTCCACCTGAACTGTAGAGCTTCTCTTTGACCCTCAACTTCTCTGCACATAACATGGAAGGAAACACAGTACGTGTAAAGTTTTCTCCACCAAAGCTTATTCACGCTCCCAAAAGACTCCTCCCATTCACAGGGGGACGAACCAGAATGAGGATGACTCGCATCCCGTCGGCCTTCATGCGATTAATCAGAGCTGGAAACCCAACAAACTTGGGGCTGAGGGTGAAGTCCAGCTGCCGCTCCATGTAGTCGATGTCCGCGTACTGCACGTCCTGGGGGACACACAAGGGAACTCAGTGGCTGCAGGTTCCAGACGAGAATAGACCAACCCTAACCCAACCAGTAGGGAATTTCAGACGGTGTTTTTTGGATTCTTTCAAATCCCAGTTTTGTCATTTGTCAGGTAGTAGGGTCTGGGAAATCTACTTAACCTTCTAATTTTTCTTTGTAAAATAAAAAGAAAATTAAATTAGCAAAATATAGGATAATAATGCCTATCCAGCAGGGCTGTTTTTGAGAATAAATGAAAACAATGGATGAGGGAGTGCCTTGTATATGACCAATATAAGGAGTGATTGTTGCTACCTCCCCCAAGAGCTGCCCTGGTATTATTTGTGGTTCCGATTCAGAGAAAATAACATAATGTCAATTACCCAGTAGGAATACAACATGGATGGTGAATCTACCAAAAACAAAAACTGTAATTGCTTTGGATATCCAATCCTGGGGGTTGTTAAACACAGCTTTCTCATTAAGAATGAAATAGTGCATGTTGCACTTCCTATGACTAGAAACAACTGTAAACAATAAAAAATAAATAGGATACAATTAAATACAGGGGTTGGCAAAAGTAGGTTTATAATTATTTGTATGAATAATACCATAATTAATAAATAATAATACAAGAATAAACCCTGTGTTTCATAGACTCACAACTGTAAACCTACTTTTGATGACCACTGTATGTAATTGGCTCATGGAACCAATTATCTAATTATTGGACCCTTCTTGTCCTGAAATGAAAGAGTTTTATTCCACATGTATTTCCTCTGAAAGTTAGTTCCAAGGTCCCTACATTCAACGGAGGATTAACTCAAAGCTGAGGGAACACTGTGCTCCAGCCTGGCATAGTGTTCGAATAGTGATTCTATCTGCACACGCAATGATCTGACTGAATTTGGGTTGAGTTTTTAAAATTAAACAATACTAGTATTGGGGGGATTCTTCTATTCTTATGGAACCAAGGATGTTTTTGACTAAATATTTTGAATTCATATAACAGAAATGGAAGCATGATCTAGCAAAAAGCTGGGCCTATGTCCTCCTCCTCTAGCAAATCACTGTGGCTCTAAGGTGAGGACCATGACCCCCACCTGTATTACTGGGTTGGGGTGAGGCTCAGTGTGATGTATGAGAAAGCATCTTGTAACTTTACAGAATCCTGCAAAAATAAGGCAAATGAATCCAGATACAGACACAACTGGGGCTAGCTGTGAGGACCCAGAACAAGTACACCAAGAGACTGAGAACGTACATAGGGGATCTGGGCAGCCACCATCTCATCATACAAGCTGGCAATCTCAGAGTCGTTCTGGTATCCATAGCGACACAGCTGAAATCCCAAGGACCAGTAAGGAACCATCACTGGCCGACCGATCAACTAAAAACAGACAGAAAATATTAGTTTTTAAGAACACTCTAAATTGAAGTTGTACACAAAGTAATAAGAATATTTTTCCAGTGCTCCAAGTTAGACGATCAACAAATTCAAATCCAGAGAGAAACTGAGAAGAGGCACAGCCACTGGGATACCTTGGAGAAAGCCTCCTGCTAGACTGGACCTCCCTGCCCAGGAATTTTGGAAAATCTCATCTTACTCTGATTCCTAGGGGCAGTCTAGCTTACTGGTTAAGAACACATAATCCATAGGCAAAAAGCCTAGGTCATCATACCCGTTCCAATCCCCGCTGACTATGTGACCCTGGACAAATGTTAAATAACCTCTTGTGCATCAGTTTCTTCACTTTTAAACTGGGGATAATAATAGTATTTGCTTCAGTGTTTTTTTTGTGAGCTGAGGACTGAATGAGGTAATATGTCAATGTAAACTGTTCTGACACATATCAGTGACATACAGTTAGTTTTATAAATGTTTGTTGCTGCTGCCAAAACAACTGTCATTACTACTATGACCACCTTCCCCACCACTACACTACCATCACCATCACATCACCACCATCATAAACACCATCACTCGCAACCACCATCACCACCACCTGTACACTACCATCATCATCACATCACTATCGTCATCATCAGATCACCAACATCATCACCCTCACTACCACTATTGCCACCTCCCCAACCATCCCTAGTACTATTAATTCTACTGCTCTGAAATGCTTTGAGAGGCTATGAATTTAATGATTATTGGGATGTATATATTTTTATTTATTTTATAATCTATCTGTCTCCCAGTAAGACCAATAAACCCAATTATCTGAGAACTATACTAGTGAATGTAGGTTTTGGAACACAAAATATACTGTTTAAATTCTTGGTAACCCATTGAATTCCCTCCTACCTCAGTGTACTGCTGAGTGACAAGCTCTGGAGTTGGCCCCAAAACCACATAAAAGTCCAGAATTCCTCCTGTGGTACGGTATGTCAAGGCAGGCAGGGGTTGGAATGTCACATCTGAAAATGTAGGAAAATACAAGTCAATCTGAAAATCTTTCATGTGATGAACTATCTCCTGAAATGCATAACTTCTCCCTTTTCCAATGCCTCTGTATTGTGAGAAAGTACTTTGTACTGTACCTACACAGAACTGAAGAAGTTAAGCGAAAGTCTACAGGGTCCTATCTCTGGATTTTTTTCTCTTTGGTGTTCTTTGATATCTTATTATACGTTTTCTCATTCTGCTCTTTTTAATTATTATAATTTTATTTTAGAATAGTTTATGACTTATAAGTTGCAAAAATAGTACCAAGTATTCCCATATAGGCTTTCCCCAGTTCCCCCCAATAATAATATCTTACATAACCATTGTACATTGTCAAAACCAGGAAACTGACATAGACATAATATTATTAACTCAGGTATAGACCTTATTCAGATTTCACCACTTTTTACATGCACGCTTTCCCCTCCACCTCCTGCTTTTCCCACCTCTTTCCAATATACAATAAAAATTTTCTTCACATCTTCATACCCCCAGAGAGAGTGCTCTGCCCATAGCGTCTTCACTAATTCAATTATACAGATAGCTTCCACTAGCTGATCTCTAGGATAACTGGGACTTGCTTAGTGTTGCTATCCCTTCTTACATGATTTTTGCCAAATAAGAGTTTAGTTCATTCTTGTTAACACATATTACTGAGCTGAAAATAAACAGAAAGGCTAAGTAGAAAGGCTAAGAGGAAACAAAACTGGCCACATGATAATGATTTTTACTTTGGCGGGCAGCTAGGTCAAACACATTCTAAACTTCTTCAAGAATGATTGGTTCACAAAAATAAGGTGAGACGCTGGCATCATCTTACCCATGGCATTGCTGTTTAGCAGAAGCACTCCATGGGCACTTCCATCCTCCTCCAGTCCCATGTAGTAGGGTTGGACACCATAGGAATTCTTCTTGTACTGGAAGAATCATATGAAAAAGTGGGAAGAGGTGGCTAAAAAAGAAACTCAACAAAAATTGATTGGTAAGGTGTGTCTAGTCTTCTCTGAAATAAATAAAATGTATAAGAAACAAAGGAGCCTGGAATTGGCCCATTTGCCTAAAAACAGATGTGACCACCCAAGTTGAGTCTGGGAAGATGAAACACGAAGTGTACATATGTGGGTGGAGAGATGCAGAGACCCAGATTCCAAAACTCTGCCCTTACCCCCGGGGGTTCGTCTCGGGAAAACATCCCCCATGTGTGCCAATTCAAGTCTCTTGGGTAGGTTGTGTGCTCATTTTCTCCAAAGCCATAAAGATACTTGGAGGAAAGGCGAGTGGAGATGCGGATGAACATGTCATTGAAGGTGAAGCCAAGAAGCTGAGAGTCCCAACTGCAACACAAAAGAGTATATTTGGGAAAGAAACAGGCTGTTCTATTGGCTTCAAGCAGCTAATTTTTCAAGGAAAACCAAACTCTTGATTCCCTCCTCTCCCACCCAGAATCCTGTTAATCACCCAACCCAAACCAAACCAAACCAAACCAAAACTACTTGATTAAAATAATCATAGATGTCTTTGCTAAAAGCCCAGGAGCAAGCTTCATTCTTTATTTTCCTCTATTACTACCTCCCTTCAGTTCTTCTTTCAGAATGCCCATCTAATAGCATTCTCCAACTCAGTTGCTATGGTTCCATACCAACCCCAGCTTCTACTCCTGCTCCCTACAGACCACATTTGCTACAAAGCATCCAGAGTGAATTTTTTCAAAGTATTTCACATCATGTCACTCCCCCATTTACAATTCTTCAGTGATTTCCATTACAAAATTTTATGAAGTCTAATATGAAACCCACCTAAACTCCAGCTTCATCTCCCATCACTTACCTCCCTACCTACTAAATTGCTCCAACTCTGTATTGGATATTCCCACCCACCCGCCCCCAATATGCCAAGTTTACTCCTTTTTCATGGCCTGTGTACTCTTCAGCCCATCTGTCTAAATTGTTCTTCCCCACCCCTCAGATTTCCACATGAGTGGCTCCTTTTCCTCACCCAGGTCCTTTTTCCAATATCATCTCCTTGGAGAGATCCACTCTGATCACAGTACCCAAAGCAGTAACCTTCTACAACCCTCAATCATCCTGTTCTTTTCCTACATAGCAGTTGTCACTATCTAAACCACCTTATTTATATTTTAACTTGAGTTATCTTTGTGATTTACTTATTATTTTTTGTCATAAAAAGAGAGACCTTATCTTCTATAACCACAAAAGATAAAGGCACTCCACAAACATTTGTTGAATGAATGCCTAAGTGCATGCAACTGCCTCTGTAATTATTCCCAGAGGGCTTTCTCATAAGAACAGACCCAAAGGAAATAACTTATTCATGAAACTGGAAATGGGTAGTGTGGTGCTTTGAGCAGTATATCTCCAAGGACAATGGGCAGAGCAATGAATGTGCAGGTATCCATCAATTTCAAATCAGACTAGGAGCCACTTACATCACGGTGCCTGTACTCCTGCGTTGAATTTCAATCCCAAATGGATTCTTCTTAATGAAGACATTATAGAGTTGACTCTCAGGGGTGCTGGTTGGAACTGTGGGTATGTTGAGAGGGACTGGGACTTCATACCGATTGTTGTTGGGATCATAAATCTAGTGACAGAGAAAAATGACTTTAGGTAACTATGGCGCCCTTAAAGCCCATAACCTTAGCAAAACCCTGATGACCTTGACAAAGAGTATGAATGCTATATTTTTTTGTCTTTAAGCTCATAATACTCTGGATTTTATTAACATATGAAAGAACAATGTTAGATTTAACTCTTTTTTTTGTCTGTCATATCTTACTTAAGGCTTCTATTATAATAACACATTCACTTTGACATTGGTGCTATCCTGGAACATCAGTCTAGAATCAATGTGGTTTATGATTATATTTTTTATTAGTTTATGTGTAGAAGTATGAGTCTATGTGAATACCTGAAAACTTTTCTGAATTGAACTGCCCCTAAAAAATATAAACTCGCCCTGACCAGTTTGGCTCAGTGGATAGAGCATCGGCCTGCGGACTAAAGGGTCCCGGGTTCGATTCCGGTCAAGGGCATGTACCTTGGTTGCGGGCACATCCCCAGTAGGGAGTGTGCAAGAGGCAGCTGAATTGATGTTTCTCTCTCATCAATGTTTCTAACTCTCTATCATTTTCTTTCTCCCTTCCTCTCTGTAAAAAATCAGTACTTGGTTAAATAAAATAGGTATCCTCACTAAAAATTGATTCACTGAGTATCTAATATATTCCTGCTTATACTGTACTAGATACTAGGAATAACTAAACTGCATAAGACACATTATTGTTTTTAAGAAATTCACATGCTAAGCTAGTAAGAGAAAGACCATTATCACATGATCTCACTTATATGATATGGGATCTAATGAACAAAATAAACTGACGAACAAAATAGATCCAGAGACATGGAACAGAGTGAAGAATCTCAGAGGGAAAAGGAGGAAGAGATTAATTAAGGAATTTATATACATATATGCATAACCCACGGATGCAGACAATAGTGTGGTGAAGGCCTGGGGTGGGGGCGGGCAGGAAGGAATGAAGGGAGTCAATGGGGTAAAAAAGGGGGATATCTATAATACTTTCAACAATAAAGATAAGTTTGAAAAAAGAAAGAAATTCACATGCTAATGGGAGGTAAAAGAGATGTACCCACAACACTTGGGTGATAATATGCTAATGTAGAACTTTGCAGAAGTGTGACACTGAAGGGAAGGAAATACCTAACACTTCCAGGGAGACTGAGTGGATTTCACAGAGAAAATACAGACTGAGTCTTAAAAGCTTTATAGCCATTAACTCAGCACATAAAGGAGATCAAGTCATTTCTGGTAGAGAAATAAGTGCAAAGGCACTGAGTATTAAAGCAAGGTCAGAAAGAGGCAAATATTTTGTAGAGAGTTACTGTGTGATCAGGAAGTAGACTGGCAAAGAGTTAAAGCTGGAAACCTAAGCAAGTTCATTTATTTCAAACCCATTAGGTGCCTATCAAATGCCACCAGGTCTATGGTGAGGACAGGAATATAAAAGCCTCGTCCTTATATTATAAGATGTACAAGAACTCAGAGTCCAGGTTGATATTAGAATGTGAACAACCTGTCAGGTGAAGCCTGATGTTTTTCATTTATTCTCTTGATGAACATCTAAGTGCTGACTACCTACTGGACTCGGTGTTAGATTTCAGAAACACAAAGATAAAAGGACATTTCCTGTCTTTCAGACACTCACAGTTCAATATAGAAATATACATAAAATAGGCCATCACTAGTCCTTAGATGTAATAAATCATAGAATAAATCATTTTCATGTCTATTTCACAGGTATCCCAAACTCAGTATCCAAAACTGAACTCATCATCTGATTTTTCCCAAGCTCAAACCTTTCCAGAGTTTCCACTATGGTTAATATTGCCATACTCCATATAGAGATGGAGGCTAGCAACATGGCAATCATTCTTGGTTCTTCCCTCTTGTCATTACCTACTTGCAATTACCACCAGAACCTGTAACACTACCTTCTTATCTCTCAAAGATGTCCGCTGTTCCCCATCTCCTTCCTGTACTATAACCAAGCTCCAGCCCTCATCTGGATTACCTAGCTGGTAACCTCCTAGTTTGTCTCTCCTTTCAACTCTTGTCCTTTCAGTAGACACAGCAATCTTTTAAAAATGCAAATTAGAACAGGTCTCCCTGTGCCATTACTGGTTTCTCACTGCTCTTAGGATAATGACCTAGTATAAGATAGCATGGTTAACCTAGAAGAGTGAACTTATTTTAGGGTTTTGTAACCTTGACTAGCAAAAACTGATGGAACTGAAAAGTGCTAGTCAGTATTTGATACACAGTCTGTGAACACGTACCTTAAACTGCAGCATGTCATTCTTGTGGTAGGTCACATTCACATGGAGGGTGTTCACAGGTGTTGAGGGCAAAGCGTTGGCGTAAAGAGAAGACTTTAAGGAGATGACAGCTGTGGCCCCATGTGAGTTATACTGAATATCATCAACAGAATATAGCTCATTGGTGAAATAGCAAAAAGGGACTCCTGGGGAAGTGGTTGCCTGAGAAGTAAAGCCAAAGTCAGCTCAGCATGTGGTCCTGGGATTATCAAATACAAAGGGGCTGGAAAAAGTAATTTACAGGGAGATGCAGCCAGACTATCACTTATTTCCCTATGTGCTCTTTGGTTGTGATACAAGTTTAAATTCCTGGTCTCCATGTAAAATATTTTTTTAAAAATAATTTTCACTCCTGTCGCTACCTACTCTTCATATCCAGATAAAAACCCAGTTTCCTTTGGAAGTCCTTTCTTTCTGTGGATTTTAAGTAATCACATAGGTACCGGTGCTATGCTCATGAAATTGTAGGTTAAGTGTAAAGAAATTTAATTATGATAACACCATCAGCATTTTTACCTCCCAGGCACAGCCACGGGCAATGCACTTTGCTTCAGAAGCACCATCCTCATCAGGATAACAGTCTATTTTTTCTACATCCTCCATCACCAGGTTCCATTCCACAGTGTATGCTTCTCCCAGGACAAGATCAAGTCCTGTGATAAGGGCAACCTGTGGGAATGGGGAAGTGACAAGGAAATTTACCCTCAGGACATAGGCCTTGCAAAATCTGAAACTTCTTTGGGGAGAGGAATAGAAATCATACCAGACTGAATAATCCAAGTGACATACCACTGGAGCCTCTATGGAGAGAACTATATGGGGAGTGGGAGCAGGAACCACCCAATGGCAACAAGGCAAATGTCACAACTCTATGTCAATCTTGTATATAACATTTTGAAAAGAATTTGATAAAATAAAATCTTCTGTAATCACTCCTTTCTTTCCTTCCCTCACCTGCTTCCTCTTCCTTGTTTTGTCAGGAAGGCTTGCTTCTGCACTTCCCCTTGTAGCATAACACACACAAGCACAAGTGTCATTCCAAATTTAGTTTATCTTCCCCCAAACCAGTGTCCCCCAGTGGTCTAGACTGATGGCAAGAACAAAGGAATAAGAATAACATGGCCTGGGTTCTCATCTCCATTCTGCTGTGGAAACTTAGACAAAGTATTTCAATTCCTTGGGTCTGTTTCATCAATTGCAAAATTGGTGAATTGGCAAAATCATTCCATTTCCTTCTATTTCTGACACCCCAACCTCTTCATTTCTGCAGGCCAAAGCCTCAAAACTTGAAAACTTTTAAAAATCCCACTTTCTAATTCAAATATCTAACATTTTTCTATATACTGTTATATTGTCTCTTCTTTAGCAATTTCCTTAGAGAAAGTTCACATTTGTCCAGAGCTATAAAATTACATTCTAAGGATTATCATCCTTCTTCCAGTCTCTTCTCAGTCTAAATTCATCTTGCACTTCCCTGGACTATGAATCCCATCCCCCTCCATGACAATTCTCTTAAACATTGAGTTGAGGGTCAATAAGTGACCCTTTGACATTAGATCAGATCCTTCTCGTTTTGGCACTAAGACCTTCCAAAATCTGACCATAAGTTATCTGTCCAAACTGATCTCCTTCCAAAAGTGAATCCTACCTGTTCTAGTTATATAATATGCACAGACTAACGAAAGGCTAACCTCTTACTAATACAAGGCCATCCTTAGATTGGCTCATTCTGACATCCCAACCTTGAATGTTTTATCCTCACAAATGCTCATCTGTGGAATAAACTGCTAGTTGCCTGTCCTACATAAAAGTTATCCTCTTACTATTTCAGTTTAGAATACTAAAGTTCCCACTTAAGAATTAAAGCTGTGGCCATTAATGGGTAAATTTTGAGCCAAGCTTTTGTTTCTTGATTTAAGGGACTGCTTCTTTCTTTCCTGTTTCCTCTTTTTATTCGTACTAAAGCAAGGCCATAGTGACTGGAATTAAGCAGGAGGCACTTCCAATCATAAGAGAAGAAAAAAGTATCAACCCTGACAACCTTGAGCCACTGAATCAATGCCAGCAACTGACCTCTTTCTAAAGTTCTTATTGCATAAGGGAAAAAATCCAACTTGTTTAAACCACCATTTGGCTGAGTCTCCTGACACTTGCAGCCAAATGAATCTCTAGCTGATGCATCGTCTTTCAAAGTCCAGCTCCAGCCCTATATTCTGCAAGGACTTTGTTCAATATTCCATTAAGCTTTGAACACTGACTTAGAATAAGTTAACACTTTGCATATGTTGGTTTGGGTTGCCTGTCCCCTTCCCAATAGTTTCATATGTATATATTGTGTTTCCTCACAAATCAAATTGAAACAGTTAAAGAGCCCCTTTGGCCTTATATTAATTAATCTATTTAACAAACATGTATTGAATTTGTTTTCATATGTGAATCTGTCAAATGGCTTGCACTTTTCTGTACTCACCAACAAAAATGTAATACTTCTTCTAACTTTATTATGTATGCATCCTCAATGGACATTATCAGGACAAAATGTCACATGTCACTGATATATCATTATAATAGAAAACTAAAGTTACTTATTTTCTTAAGTTTGGAAGGTCCCTCAGAAACATGCTAACCCAGTAGCTCCCAATCCCAGATCATACCTGTAGTAAGAAGTATTTGAGGAAAGGGTCCCTCCTAATCTATAGTAATAAAAGTGTAATATGCTAATTAGACTGGACATCCTTCCAGACGAAGCCGCGCTGGCAGGGGCCAAAGCAGAGGTGGCAGAGGCCCCCAGCCGCCACCGCAGCAGGGGCCAAGACCCTTGCACGAATTTTGTGCATCAAGCCTCTAGTGTTAAAATATCAGAGGAACTGATTACAACTACTCAGGAGCATCATATCTTATCACAACTGATGAAAAGTTATTTTATTGTTATCATCTAACCAAATAAGTAGCCATTAATTACCTAGACTTGTCAAATTCTTTGACTTAAAATTTTTTCTAAAAATGTATGTGTTTTAGTGAGAATTTATACTAATATATCTCAGTACAGTTAAAAAAAAAAACACTCTTTTCAAATTTTTCATTAATGGGGACCTCCTCCCTTCTTTACCTTTCTAGCATCAGCCATCAGTTTTCAGATCTACTTTTCCTCTATTTCTGTTCCCCACACTTCTTCTGTCCCAGAGAGAACAGAAGACTAGGGCCAGTGGGGGAGTAAGGATGAAAAGACTATTTGCCTTTATCCCAGTTTCCCAGCAACTCCCTCATTCATTCTAGTGCTAGCCCACTCTTCATTCTTTTTTCTCTCCTAACCCTCTGACTTTTCACTCCAGGCCTCAGTGTACTTTGGTCCTTTAGGACCCATTCAACCTTGGTAAGAAGGAACACCATGAGCTGTGAAGAATTCTTGATAAACTGTCTCAACCAAAGGGATTTTTACCTGTCGGTTAGGATCATAAGTGACTTTAGGAGAAACCTGAGTTGGTACACCATTGTGTTTCACTACAATGTTGTTAGGTTTTTGGGTCCCAAGGATTTTAATCTCTTTAAATACTAAATTATTAGGGTCTTTGTAGGTTGACTGCAAAATCTTCACATCCAAGCGGTTCTGCAAAACAATTAAGCACAAAGATCTAACTATAAAACACAGTTTCTCAAGTCACTCAAATATTCCATCCTAGATCAGATACCCAAAATGGGTTTGAATGTCTCTTAGCTATCTCTACTCATCTGTGCTTAATTAGTACAAATGTATTTTGATACTTCCTGAGGAGGAAGAGAGAAAGAAAGAGAGCTTTTTAATAATTACTATTAAAAAACTGACTGCTTTGATTTATTCATTTCATTGCCTCCTTCTAACTAACATGATTGATTCAGTTATTAGGAGAATGTGCTCACCTATACCATAAATGCATATGAAGCTAAAAGTATAATTACACACATACACAAACACACATGAGTCTTGTGGACCAACAAAAGCCCACACTTAAGATACACAAAAATATGCTACTTACTTGGGTGACAGAAAACTCACATAAGATATAAACATTATTGGCCACAGTATCTGAAAGTGAGAGAAAGACGAGTCAGACTCTGATCTGCCCACCACAGGAGAACAGTTTTTACTCTGGCTGTCTTTGAAGCTACATCTTGATAAGGACAAGTTTATAGACAGAGTCTCCAAGGCCAAGTCACTGTTTTCCCTTTTCCTTTCTCCTTTAACCTTGAAAAGGTTCCCTTTCATGTGCTTCCAAGGAATATTCCTTAAGTGAGTCTATTTCCTAAGCTCAAGCCTCAAGAGTCATTAGTATATTGGAGACAGAAAAATGTGCTAAGAAACTAGATATAGACACATAGCTAGATTTTCACTGCCTTTTCACTGGTTATGTTTTTTCATACGATCAACATTTGTTCAGTAGTCTTTTGGGGGAGATGTCCACATTAAATGGCAGGAATGGTGTTAAAAACATCTTTCAGGTTCCCATTGACAATAAAATGAGAGCCTATGACTACTGCTGGCCAATGGGAGAATTCTACAAGGTAGAAATGTGTTTTTCCTCCATCAGTGGTCCACCTACCATAAACAGTGCTACTAAAACAAAACTCTTCTCTCCAGTGATGAATGCTATTGTGCCTGGTGAGATATCTCCCCCAGCTGAATGACCAGAGGGGTAGCTCAAAGATGCAGGTTCATAAATAGTGACATTGGCTCACCGTTCGTTTCCCCATCATCCCAGAAAAGTTCGCCTCTTGCTTCTTTGTTGTCATCTAGGGCAATGATAAGACCAAGAGGGTTCCGTCGACTGTAGGAGAAGATATTTATTTAAGAGACCAAGACTTAAAACTCAAAGAATTTTGTCAGATAAATTGAGGATGACTATCAGATTCAGATGGAAAAGGATCCTAGCATCAGACTGCTCTGCTTTTCTTCAGGCACAAAATCAACAGGTACATTCCTCTCTAGAATCATTGCCCCAAACATTAGCAATAAACACCTATGGTAGGAGGCAAAAAATTTAAGCACCAGAATCACACAATAACTGCAATAAAAACTACCAATGCAAGTATTATTTAGAATACAAACTATTAGAAAACACAGCAACTTGATTTCCTATTTTTTTTATATGGGAACTTGCTGTGGACCTAGTGACTAAACTTTAAGATAAAATATTTTATATCCTTAATGCTAGGTTCAATACCAAAGAAGATGGGGAAGCTAAAATTTGGATATGATTCTTATGTTTTTTAATAGAAATTTTTCTTTAAATTTATTTTAATAAACATCATAATTGTGATTTTTTAAAAAAAAATAGACAATAACTGGTTCAGCCTAATCACTTAAGAGATGTTACATGCAGAAGAAGTATTAATTGTGGCTGGGGGATACATTTTTTCCCTGCCAGAGAACCATTTTGACTCAGAAAGCAATAAAACACAATAAGGTCTATCTATAAAATGTCACCTTTCCTAATTTTATTATTTATTATTAGTTTGTTTTGAGAGTAAAAGAAAACATTCCAATTATCTGCTTTATAATTACGAATAAGAAACACAAAACACTACTCAGTAAGTTAGTGAAACAGATGGACATAATCTACCTCCCAATTTTCTGATCATGTTGCATCCCTCACTGACCTCACAGTCTATTGTATTCTCACAGCTTAGCCTTCCACTATGCCCTATGCAAGCTCGATCCCATTATCAACAAAATCACCTGCTTCCATCTAACATGCATATGTTGAGTAGTTTTCATTTGCTAGGAAGTCTAAGGGATACAAAGATGAACAGACACTCCATTGATGACCTTAAATATTGTAGGAAATATTAAATGTATTCACCAAATAATCAAAGCAGAAAGTAAAGTGTGACACAAAAGTTAAAATACTTATAGGAGTCCAGAATGACACTTCTAGCAGTGTGGTGGATTAGATCTTCTAGAGGATACCAGACATTCTGAAGGACCCACCCACTAAAATACTGCTTGATCCTAGATAAAATACAACCCATGGTCCCTGCAGGGAGCTAATGTGATCCAGGACAGCAATCCTGGCTTGCAATCAAAGAGAAAGCAAATCATCTCTAGAAGAATGAGACCCACATTTGGAATTTTAAGATCACCACATTTGAAAAACAAAAACAACTAATCATATAAGATAATATGCCAGCATAAAAGAAATTGGCAAAAACAACTATTGATTTTGATTCCACTAATGACTTTAAATAATTGTATTTTCAGGTAAAAAATATAAAATTGGCATACTTAACAATATGATTGGCATATTTAACAATATTAAGGAGGAAAGAAAAAAAATCAGCTAAACACCAAAAAAGTATAACATATGACCAGAAAGTTGGAAGTGGCAGCATTCCCTTTGCTGGAAGAGTTGGGAAACATTTCCTGCAGATAAAATCTGAGTTTAATTTGAAGGATTATTAAGAACACACTAGACAAAGAATGTTAGAATCTTGAGAATATCATGCTAAGTGAAATAAGTCAGATAGAAAAAGTCAAGAATTATATGATTTCACTCAAATGTGGGATATAAAACTGAAAGCAACAAGTGAACACACAAGACAAACAAACAACAACTCATAGACACAGACAACACTATAGTGGTTCCCAGAGGAAAGGGTGTGGGAGAGGTTATGAAGGGTAGAGGGGGTCGAGTGTATGGTGATGGAAAATTTGACTTAGGTTGCGAACACACAATACAATATACAGATGATGTATCAAAGAGTGGTACACTTAAAACCTATATAATTTTATTAACCAATGTCACCCAATAAATTTGAAAAAAAAAAGAACATACCAGGCAAAGAATGTTGGAAAAGATAATAAGTGCTTAAGCCCAAATGCAGGAAAATAGAAGGGTATGTTTGGAGAATAGCAAGATTTTCAGGATGGTGATCTACAGGTATGTGCTAATGTACACCCAGAGGCACAATTATTAAGTAACTTGGAACCGGATTGTGACTAGCCTTGAATGCCCTACTAATGAAAGAATTTTCTCTAAGCAGAGGAGCAACCGGTTGAGATCTTCACTTTGGAAATATCAATTAAAACCTACAGAATGACTGGCTAGAGGATTTTTAAAAAAATATTCTCTCTCAAGGGGGTTTAGGAAGATTAGGGTTTAAGGCAGCGGTTCTCAACCTGTGGGTTGCGATCCCTTTGGTGGTCAAATGACCCTTTCACAGGGGTCGCCTAAGACCATCCTGCATATCAGATATTTACATTACGATTCATAACAGTAGCAACATTACAGTTATGAAGTAGCAACGAAAATAATTTTATGATTGGGTCACAACATGAGGAACTGTATTTAAAGGGCCAGAAGGTTGAGAACCACTGGTTTAAGGTCTTTCAAAATCTATCTGGATGCAGTTCTAAATCACAGCTTCCTCAGAAGAGGCCTAGGGGCAGAGTTTAATGACCAATCACACATACATACACCACACACACTAGAGCATCTTCCTCCCCACTCCCCACCCTCAACATGACGTGTCAGCATCTTCTGCATGGGAACAGATGGGCACAGAAATGACCAGCTTTGTCAGCCTGCCCCTCAAAGGAAACTCAGTCATGCTGTACCTGGCAACAGTGGTTGTGGCTGGCTGTTGGGTGGGGAAGATGTAGCCTCCTCGAAGGTGAAGTCCAATTTTGTCTCCAGGAAGTTGCATTTCCACTTTCTGCTTCCTCCATCTTACTTGGCTCCCCTGAAGCATGAAGACAAATCAATCACATTGCCATGATGGGACATTCACCTCCAGCTTTCATCCCTGCGCTGAATTATCTTGGCTCTCTCCTTTACCACCACCTAGCTGAATTACTGTCTAGTCGGACAATCAAACAAGAGAAGGGGAAACGTCAAAAACAACAGGTTTTGTCATCAATTAGGTTTTGGGGGCACGTGTATGCCATGTTGAGGCTATTTGATATACATTATATGAATGAATAGCTCTAACTCATGACCAAACTCAAATTGTTCTTTGGCCCTTCCAGCATTTGCCCATGAGACATTCTACTTGAGTTTTTATCCGATTTCATCATGACTGACATTAAGTCATTAGGCTCATTTCATTGACTCGGCTGAAATTACAGAAGACATTACAGAAACACTCCTTTCTTGTCTACACAGCTGTAGCTGTGGTCTTGAAAAGTTTAAGAAAAGTGAGTGCTACTTACAGTCTCATAATCATACCAGACAGCATCAGGCACATAGGCCATCACTTTTTCTGCACCCTGAAATGAAAACAAAATATACTTCTTCATGGCCCAGCCTCTGAAAGGGATCAAATACATTTCCTAGCATTCCCTAGGGAACTTCTTTACCATATATCGAGAGTGCATAAATGACATTTCTTGGCCTTGTTATCGACTCATGCCTTTCTTCTAATGGGAATAATAAAGGCAATAACTGAGCAACAACAAGAAAAAATCCTAAGTGGAACCACATTAAGAATAACGACAACTGCCGAAACCGGTTTGGCTCAGTGGATAGAGCGTCGGCTTGCAGACTGAAAGGTCCCAGGTTCGATTCCGGTCAAGGGCATGTACCTGGGTTGCGGGCACATCCCCAGTAGGAGATGTGCAGGAGGCAGCTGATCAATGTTCCTCTCTCATCGATGTTTCTAACTCTCTATCTCTCTCCCTTCCTCTCTGTAAAAAATCAATAAAATGTATTAAAAAAAAAAAAGAATAATGACAATATTGAAACATGTTGTGGTAAAAATTCCAGCTTTACATTGGTTATCTCATTCACACTTCACAACAGTCCCCAGTGATGGGGATTATTATTATCTCACTTTACAGCTAAGGAACTAGCATGATGACATTCCTAGATCACATTGGTACTAAGTGGCGCAGGCAACAATCTCACATTCATCAGCCTAACTTTATTTTTTTAAATTTATCTTTATTTTTGGAATTATTACAGATGTACCCCTTCTTCCCCCATTGACTCCCTCCACCCTGTGCCCCGGACTTTAGAGTGATCCTGGGCCATTACACCCTTCTGCCTCTACTTCACAGAACAAGTACTGATCTGCTCTGATGATCTGACAACAAATAGGACCATTCTTAAACCCAGAGTTGCCAGTAGATGCTTCTACACTGGTTGAGAACTTGGTCAGAAAAAAGATTTCTAGAGGAAAGAAAATGTGAAAGTATCAGATATACAACCTCCCCAGCACATTGTCATCAAGCCTGACTCAGCCACACATGTTGGAAATGGGTTTGGAATAAAGAGAAATGGTTCCAAGGAGAGGGCTGCAGGAACAGAAGCTGACACCACCAGTGTGTCTCTATGGGAACACATACCTCATCCAGAACCGGAGTGATGAGGAGGCCAGGCCCCCATAGAAACTGTTGGTGCACATCCCAAGTGTTGCTGTCCGCATAGAACCTGGAGATTGGAGAGACGTTTGCTGAGATGTGAGCCAACGCTTCCTGGAAGCTCTCCCCTCAGCCTGTCCAAAACATGCAGGTTCCCTCCCAGGGCAAACTCCCCCAATTTTTCTATGATGCCTATTCAACTCCCACCTCCCCAATCCTGCAGAGAGATCTGCTTCCTCTAGCCCATGTACCCTCCTAATCTCTCCCCAGGTTAAACAGACATTCCTGTTCCAGTATCTATGCTAGGCTTAGGCAGGTTCAAGGCCGAATTCTAATTGCCATATCTCCCTTATAAAGAAATAAGTAAAGTAAGTTGTACATTTTAAAAGTTCAGCTGACCATCAAAAAGAAACTGGATCTGGTCACAAAAATAGAAGATTATTACAATTTTACTCTTTTTCTCTCTTATGTTAGCTGCCTTTTAACAGAGAATTCCAGGAGATGGCAAAAACTTACCCCAAATAATCTATAATAATAAAAATATAATATGCTAATTAAACTGGACATCCTTCTGGACGACCTTCTGGATGAAGCTGGGGCTGTGAGGGAAGCCTGAATCCCAGGTGCCTACCAGTGGCCAGAGGGAAGCCCGGGTCCTGGGTGTGGGAGGGAAGCCCAGGTCCCGGATGCCAGAGGGAAGCTGGTGCCAGCAACCGGGGGAAGGAAGGCCTACTCTTGTACAAATTTCATGCATCGGGCCTCTAATGAATATATAATAAAGCAGATATGTGCTTGAGGGCCTAAAATGTCAGACACATAAGGACATTAACTGTATTATGATAAGGAAAGCCTCTTAAGTCCTAGAGCCTGAACATAGTGAGTTACAACAGAGACCATCAAGTTCAAGCTACCAATCCTTTAAATTAAGATTAAAGAAACTAAGGATAAAAGAACTAAAATGACTTGTCTAAGATAAAGAGCTGGTTGGTGACAGAACAAAGACCCCAGTCCCATGACATTTAGTCTAGCTTCCGTCCCAAAAGAGAATAGGCTGTAATACTTAAACAGTATCTAGGCAACAATAGCCTTGCAAATACCACCTGGGTTTGAATTGTTTCAATTGTCACTCTTATATATGATGATAGAGTCAATGTCATCAGTTGCATTAACAAAAGGCCTTTGGGTTAGGTGGACTTACTCATGCAGAAGGGGCCTGGCCACGGTGTCCCCCCGGCTATGAGCGCGATAAAGGAGAGTGTACAGATAGGGCAGTAGAGTGTAGCGGATGGTAAGGTAGTGCCTGGAGGAATTCAACAGCAGAGAGTTGGCTCCAAAGGAGGCAGGATCCTGGGCCTGGAAGGAAGGAAGATGTTGCAGTTGTCAGCTGGCCATGCACAACAGAAGTATCTGGAGAATTCCAGACCCCATTCATCACAACCGAGAGTTTACTTCCTGAAAGACCTGGAAGCTTGGCCTCTGATCAGTACAGGTGGGCAAAGAGAGATCATTTCACCAAGTAAGTGGCCATTCTTCACCTTGAAACTCAGCTCCCTTCACCCACTCTTTAGGGGTGCTCTCTAGAGAGACTGCCGGTTCAATAATTTTGAAGCATCTCCTCATTTGATTCTCATTACAATATAAGCAATGTTGATAAAGTATACAGAGGTTTGATAAAAACCTTCACAGACTCGCCATTTTCTTGACTGAAGCATAGAAATAGCAGAGGCGTGGCACAGGGCATTTTAATGGTGCATCATAGGTCCTGGTTGATTGCAAACAGTGGTGCAAATTAGCCTGATTGAGCACCAGGTAGGAGGATGGCTCAACACATTCCTTAGATGCAGTCCTAAGGGATGCCAAATTTATTTACATCCTATATCCTGGGAGACTTACCTTGTAGCCTTGGCCATTGTGATTCCTGGCAAATGGGTAGAAAGCTCCCAGCTGCATCCACCGCCTGCAGAGCTCCTCAGGGGCATCCAGTGCAAAGCCACATATGTCAGCACCCACCTGGAAGGACACACAGTCAGCTCAAAGGGAGGACATCCCCCTTTGCTTTCTACCAGGGACTTCAACTAAACTTTGCTAACCTCTTACTGAGAAGGCTAATATGGTGCGATTGAATTGGTTTATATCCTGTGTCCACTCTACTGCCAAGTGACGTTGAGTAACTTACTTAACCCTCCTGTGCCTCAGTTTCCTCACTTTACCAGTAAAGTAGGCACTAATTAGTTACAGAGGGTTTTACTAAGTGAAATAAGTAAAACACTTGACACACAATAGCTTTTTGATGAACAGTTACTAGAAATGTTGTTTATATTATTATTTTGACCACACTGCTATTGGAATTAATTTTCCAACACCTAAACCTGATATTGTTACTCATCAATTCAAAAATTTCCAGAGTCTCCTTTCAGCTTATCCTATTAGCTCCACAAAACCTGGCTCCAACCCATCTTTCCAGCATTACTTACCATTCTAGTCTTACACACCAACCCTCACAGACCCATCAAAATGACCTCCCCCCATGAGTCAGAAAAATTATATCCACTTTTCAAAGTTAAACTCAAGTGCTATCTTTTCCATGAAGTTTCTCTTGACTCCCTTTGTTCCTTATAATCTTGTTAAGTCCTTTCTCAGGATTTCCCTTAACAGTTGACGTATATGTCCCTGTTGGCACGCTTACCCCAGCTTGTCATAATTGTTTGTTTATATATGTCTCCTCTTACTAAATTATAAACTCTTTGGGGAAAGAGAGGCATTTCTGTTACTATATGTATGTTTTTCTTTGCCCTCACCATGCATACCTAACTCAATACCTTGCATATAGTAGGAGCTCAATAAATATATATGTTGAATTTAACTAAAAGATGACAAAGCCACTTCTAAAGTGCTGGTAATGTTGTTTCCTCACCCAGGTGCTGGATACATGGATGTATTCAGTTTGTGAAATTCATCAACTGTATACTTCAGGATATGTGCACTTTCATGTGTGTATATTATACTCGAATAGAAAGAAATGTTCCAATGATATCACTTCAAGGTTGAACTTTCTATCTTTATAAGACAATGCAAGGAAGAATGTGGTGGGATCAGAGCCATACTGTGTAGATGAAACACATACTCTCAAGATATGAAATCCCTGGGCCATGGAGGGTAGGGAGGGGAGTCTTATGATTTGAAAACTTTCTAAAATGAGGCTTTCTGGAAATTGAGGTTCATAAGAGAACTTGGGATGTGAACTCACCATTGGGATACCAAAAAGACTGAACTCGAGCATTCCAGGAATGGACCATCGAAGGTCATTCCAGGTGGCTGCATTGTCTCCTAACCAATGAGCTGCAAACTTGCCAGATCCCGCAAAGGTGGAACGGGTTATAATGAAGCTTCTCTTATTAGGGAACACAGTCTTGACAGCTCTAGAAAGAGATAGAGTGGGAATCAATGTGCAACCTTAGTATGTCTCAGCCCAGCAACATATACCAAGGGCCTCAGAAGTCAAAACCCCATCTGCCTCTTCTTGTTCTCTGCCGGTGGAGTTAGAGTTGCTGATGGCACAGACTGAATTATTAAGGATATTTATGTTTTGTTTTATTTTAAGGTGTTTTCTTATGTACATCAATAACTCCATAATTTTCAAGACATTCCAAAGCAGACTTTAAAAGGCTACTAACAATAGGCATACAAATTTTATGGAACAAAGGCAAAATTTAACTTTATATAGTTGTGTATAAACAGGGTGGGGCAAAAGTAGGCTTACAGTTGTGAACATGCAAAACACAGATTTATTCTTGTACTGTTATTTATTTGTTGTATTCTTTTCTATACAGACAACTGTAGACGTACTTTTACCCCGTCCTAATCACTGGTCTTTCACAGGGTGTGATTTTAGACATACACACAAATGAACATAGGAACCCCCTCTTGGGACTTAAATTCTTTTTTAAGTAGAAACACTTTGGTCACAATCTACATAATAAAAGCCTAAGCGACCTTTATGGCGGAACAACCAGAATGGCCGGTCGCTATGATGCGCACTGACCACCAGGGGGCAGATGCTCAATGCAGGAGCTGCCCCCTGGTGGTCAGTGTGCTCCCACAAGGGGAGCACCACTCAGCCAGAAGCTAGGCTGACGGTTGGTGAGTGCAGCCGTGGTGGCGGGAGCCTCTCTCACCTCCACAGCAGCGCTAAGGAGCAGCAAGCCAAGCAGTAAGGAGCAGCGAGCCGAGCAGTAAGGAGGAGAGAACAGGTGGACAGTAAGGAGTGAGGGGTCCCAGACTGCAAGAGGGCATAGGCCAGGCTGAGGGACACCCCACCCCCCAGTGCACAAATTTTGTGCACTGGGCCTCTAGTTTTGTAATAAGAAAAGACATTTTAAAATTATGTATCTATGTGAATATTTTTATAAGTAAATATAAAGATACTAGAGGCCCACTGCACAAAATTCGTGCAAGGGCTTTGGCCTTCGCAGCCACAGCAGCTTGCCTCAGCCCTTGCAGCCCTGGCTTCATCTGGAAGGTCATTTGGCTATCCAATCTAATTGGCATATTACACTTTTATTATTATAGGTATCATCTATATTTTTAAAATAAGAAATCTGTTATAGTCTTAAAAACATTTGCTTTACAATGTTTTTAACAACTTTCAAGAAGGCTAAAATCACACCATGACTTTGCTAATGAATGAATGTGGTTTTGGTCTGGCCTCCTTCTGTCATAGTTGCAGGAAAGAGTAAATTCTCAATACCTTTTCTTCACTATAGAATTTGAGTCCACACACAAAGGCAGACACAGCACAGAAGGCAGAGCCAGCATCTAAGACCCCAAAGCACATGGAGTCTTAATTACCTAACCCTCCACCCTCCAGACAAGACAGTGTGGCAGAGAGGAAAATACGTGGACCTAGATTCATGCATAAATGTGCTTAAATTTTGCTTTTACAATGTATTAGCTGTTTGAACTTAGTCAAGTTACTTCTCTTTTTTCCTTCCAACTTTTCATTTATTCATGCATTCTTCTATTTCATACTTTCCATGAATATTTATGGGACTCCTTCTTCCCTAGGTAGTTTCTCCATTCATTCAGTAATAATAACCATACTTATCTTGCAAAGTTCTTAAAAGTAAACCACTGGCACCTGGTATCTAGCAAGATCAAGAATGTGCTATGTTTGATGTCCATAGCAACAGTATCCTTACTCTGCTGTAGCAATCGCCATAGAGTAGCCATACAGGTTGTGGACATCATACTGCTTGCCCCAGTGCTGTATTGCATCCATGCAGAGAGACTTGCAGAACAGGTACCCATCCAGGACTCCTGGGAGAAAAAAGGGTCAGAGAGTGAGTGCCTACGCTGCACATTCCCTATTCTTCGACTGTCATAAAAGCTGACATCGTTCTCACCGGGCAAGCATTTACTGTGGCCATCCTGCAAATGATCACACAGATTCCTCACTATCAAAGGGGTAGTTACTCTGATGTATAAAGAAATTGTGTTGGCTCATACACATCCTCCCACTTGGGTGCTCATGTGACTAGAGGCAGGCATTTGGAACAAGATGATTCCATTAGACTTGAGATTCAATCTGAATTATTCAAACTCAGCTAAGTTAAATGGTTCAAAAATATAAATACCGGATGAAAGTATAAATTAATTTTTCAACCCATCTCTCCATTGACCAGATATTATAAAAACAATTGCCCAATCTCTCTTTCATTCATCTATTCCTTTCTGCTCTGATTGTGCCACTCTGGTTCAGATCCAAATGACCTTTGGATTTTAACTATTGCAAAAGGTTCCTAATGGCTTATTGACTTCTGACCTATTGATTTTCTAATCCATATTATATATTAATGCCAGGTTAATACTTCTAAAACCATTTGACTATTATATACTTCCTTTTATTAAAACATAAGCAGATTCCCTCACAAAAAGAATAAAGTGTGAACTGTTTAGCCTCCTATCCAAGTCCTTCAACATTTGATTCTGACCCATCTGCTCCAATTTCCTACTTTCCCACCAGACTGGAAGTCTTCATAAGATGCTATAATTCTAGAAACTCATTCCTTTCTTAATCAAGACACTTTTTGTCTGGGAGCCTCTACAATAAATGCTGGGATTTCAAGGCCACACCCTGTTCAAAGTTAGTGGTGTTCAAAGTTCAAACAGAGCTCATTTGTATCATATTCAATGACTTAGACTTTGACCTCCCAAGCCATTCATTCTGGCTTCCTTTTCTCCTATGGTTCAGGTGTGTTCTTCACACTCTTGATATCACTACACTTGAGCCTTATCTGAAGACCAAGCCTGATTATCTGGTTTCCCTGTGGTAAGTCCTGACCTTTGGGAGTGGACTCTAGAGCAACATCGACTAACCACTAGCCTCTAGCTTCTGCACCCCAACTTCTCTAGACCTTCCCCTAGAAACAGGTCAGACTATAGGTAGAATGAATAGATTGCCCCTTTTTGAATTGATGCCTCCTTTAGAAAAGCATGAAGTGTTTTTATTTTCTTTCTTAGTTTTTCTTATATATTACCCACATTCTCCTTTCTATATGCACTCACATGTACAAACTCTCTTGCCAAGTTGTCCATATATATCCTTATGAAATTAAAATACCAAATATGCATTGCCACTTTAATTAGACTAACTACTAAGACTTACTGGGAATGAATGGAGGATAATTTAGATTGCTTGTGGAACATCCTGAAAGTGAACCATCAACAAAGTTGGAGAGCTCATTCATATCCTAGAAGACAGAGGTTAAAAGTTGTGTCTTTTTTTTGAGGAATCAAAAAAAAGATCCCAGATATTTCTTTTTTAAAGAGGTTCTTATATACATGGAGAAAAATAGATATTCCTATCTTCTCTATACATTGAAGGTTTCATGGAGATGGTCCTTATAAATCCCTTTAAAATTATAGCTGTCTATAATCACAGAAAATAAAAAATTTCCAAACCCATTAGGTGAAAAAAGATCTTAATTTATACAGTACCATATGTAAACTTATATATTCTCTGTATATCCAAATATAGCTATGAATACACACACAACAAATATACATATATAAAAAAACAATCATAAGCAAAGAGAGTGAGAGAGCAAACATGTGCCGATGGATGTGCAAGTGAGGGGTCTGAAAGATCGATACCAAAATATGCCTTTGGTCAATATCATTTTAGAGGGTTTTGCTTTCATCTTTGTAGCTCTCTATATTGTTTGAATTTTCTACATTTCTCTTATAAAAAGAAAAAATCTTCAACTCTAGAGCTCTCCAAATTTTGCTGAACATCTGTAGTTTTACATTTGTTTTTATTTGACAATATGTAAGACATTTGCCCTTACTGCAGCCACAGTTTTGTCATATACCTGGTACTCTGGCTCTGATAAATTTATCCAATATCTCCAAATGAAAAGGTCCTGAACTGATAATTCAACAATTTATGTACTTGTGACAATACAAAGAGTATGATCTATTTCTACTTCAGTTCATTCATTTGTAAAAGAAGTGCTGACTTGGGGGGAAAAAACAACAGATTACTTCTAATCCTAATGATCTGATTTTGATTCTAAGCTACACATTTTGATAAGATTATTGGAATAGAAAAATAGGGAATTTGAACATCAAGAAGTTAAAAAGCATGACCACAAAAGAAATACACAACTTTAACATAGACAATGAAGACACTGACATTATTAAATATTGTGCTTGCCTTGGTTCAGTCATCAATTCAAATGGAGACTGCATCCAAGAAACCAAGAGAAAGCTGAGACTCAAAAGGACAGCAATGGAAGAACTAGGAAAGGTCATATGAGCAAGCATGTGGCATTAAAGACCAAAGGTAAAAGTACCCACACCTTTGTATTCCCTATTACTATGAATGGATGAGAAAGTTGGACATTGGAGAAGGCTGATAAGAAAAGAATTGATTCAGCTGAGATAAGGTGCTGAAGGAGAGCTCTGTGGATACTGTGGACCATCAGAAAGATGAATAAGGAGGTCCTAGAGCAAGTTAAGCCTGAAACATTACTGGAGGCAAGAGTGACAGAACAGAAGCTGTCCTGTTTCTAACACATCATGAGAAGGCAGGATTCTTTGCTAAACATATTAATGCTGGGGGGAAAATAGAAGGCAAAAGGAAAAGAGGAAGACCAAGTATGAGATGGACTGCCTCATAAAAAAGAAGCCTTTGGCATGACTCTGCAGGAGCTGAGCAGAGCTCTTGAGGACAGGACACTGTGGACTTCAGTCATTCATAGGGTCTCTAGAAGTCAGAGCCAACTCAATAGTGTGAAACACACACAAAGTAGGGAATGCTTAGAATTACTGCCATACTGGCTTTCCTCTCCTTCTCTCCCCTCTATGCTCCATGATTCAGTTATATAGATATACACTATCTGAATATTGGCCAGCAAATAATCAAAACATTAAGAACTCACAATCCAGATTCCATCAAACTCCACTTGATTGTGGAAAAGCTTAAATTCATTTGACCACCAAACAGCACACTTGGGGTTGGTGTAATCAGGAAACACAGTTTTTCCAGGCCAGACCTGCAGGAGAAGAAAAAAATAAGCAAAGAAGAAAACACTGATCCGAGTAAATGACGTGAATATAGAGTAAAAGAGAGTATTTTGAAAAAGAAATTCCTAGTATGATCAAGGCAACAGAAGGGCTCGGGCACAGGCTCTTCTCAGGAATGTGAAGCACTCCAAATACCTAGAATAAGTGTCAGGAGGACTCAAACACAGTCACGTGAGAAAAACTCATTTTTAAAAAATTGGTTAAGTCCTTGCTAATTTTCAACTCTGGTTCACCCTTCCTTCTCACTTTCTCTACTCCCACTTCTAGGAATGATAAATGAGAGGGAGGATTATATATATGTCAACTGGTCCATTACAAATAGTAGGTTCTAACCATCAATTACTTTTCTCTATCCCTTTCCTGTATGCAGGACTTCGAAGGTATTAGAAATGAACCAGTAGGTAACACCTTCATGGAAAACAATGACAATAAAACCAAGTAGTCATACTTGTCAAATACTACCGAGAAATCAAGTAAGAAAAGGGATGAAACAATTCCAATGGATTTGCCAATTATTGGGATAACTGGTACCATTTGCTGGAGCAGTGAGACTACAATCAGCTGATGAATGAATGGGGGTGAGGAAGTGCATATTTTGTATGGGGGCTATTGTTGAAAGGGACTTGACTGTGAAGAGAATATAAGAGCTAGGATGGCTGGCAAGTATTTAGGGATGAAGGAACAGGGAAAGTTTAGTCCTAACATATATAAGACATCTGAAAACATGAACCAAAACAATTACATACACACACAGCCCCTCTGCCAGCCCCCAACTTCCCCACTAAGTTACCTCCCCAATGAGTGGAGTCACTCCATCTGAAGCATTGATCCATATCTTCATATCTAAACCCCTGTCATACGGGCCATAGGGATTACTTGAGGAAGAGTTGATGGAGATAGCTGGATCCTAAGAAGGAGAAAAATACCTTAAGGATCGAGCTTTAAACTAGAGGCATTTAAAGGGGGCTGGGAATTGGGGACAAAGGAGGGGGAGCTGGTGTAATGACAAGAAAGAGCAAGTGCCAGGTTTGGGGGTAAATGAGGATGGCACATACCACAATGATGACCAGTTTTTGTCCGTTATTGTGCAAATCCTTAGCAAAATCAGGAAAGCCTTTATAATCGACTGGATTATAAGTGAAGTCCTTCCTTGCATCCATATAATCAATATCAGCATGCTGAACATCCTGAAAGAACAACACAAAGTACTCCTCCATTTAGTTCCTGGGAATTTCCCTGTTAAATGAGTCAGTTCAATTATCATTGTTATTATTCAGGAGACACACAGACTCTGTGCTGGGCTCTAAGCAGGGTACATAATCAGTCCCTGGTGTCTAAGTGGTTCTTTTTCCAATGGTGATTTCAAAACAAATGGCACATTGTTTCCCTAAGGCCTGGAATCAGGTTAACCACATCATCCTACCTTGTTGCTTGGCCATTGGGATTAAAAAACAATCTAAGAAACAAATCACAACCATGACAACAAGTCACGGAGGCTGTGGAAAACATAGCCAGGCCCTAAATTCTACCCCATTCATAAGATAATGGGGGAAGGGGCTGTCTTCTCCCTCATTTCACCACCCCGCATTTTGTTGTGTGCTGCTCTACTTCAAGTCTTTTTTTAGTGATTATCCTTCTCCAATTGAACCTGTATGAAAATAGTGGGACCCAGAAAGAAATTGACTCTTGCTCTAGGACAGTGATGGCGAACCTAAGACACGTGTGTCAGAGGTGACATGCGAACTCATTTCTTTGGTTGATTTTACTTTGTTAAATGGCATTTAAATATATAAAATAAATATCAAAAATATAAATCTTTGTTTTACTGTGGTTGCAAATATCAAAAAAAATTCTATATGTGACACAGCACCAGAGTTAAGTTAGGGTTTTTCAAAATGCTGACACGCCGAGCTCAAAAGGCTCGCCATCACTGCTCTAGGATCTAGGTGTTGCCCTCCAAGGGGCTGGGGAAGGGAGAGAAGAGGATTATTCCAGAGACTATTGAGCTTTTCCCTTTGTTTCGCTTGTAAAATTTCACTTCGAATTATACAACAGGCACATTCAAATTTATTCAGAACATAAAAATATTTGATTACATGTATATACTATCTCTTTTTGCTCACTCAAACTAGGGGGGAAAAAGCCTTGAGAACTAAATGCATTATGTAAATAAAATGCATTATATGAAATGTAGTTAATATAGTAAGTATAAGAAAATTTTACTAATAAAAAAATGTCATAAGAAAAAAATAGAGACAAAAACAGATTGCCTCCTAACCCCATAATCATGGTCTCTAAGTAATATTTCCTACTAAAAAGAACCAGTCCTTGAAGGAATGTCTGGCCCAACAAAAAAAATAGTCTACCACTCTAGCTCTAACTGGTTTTGTCCAGTGGATAGAGTGTCAGCCAGGAACACATGGCTGGGTTGGGGTTTGACCCCCAGTAGGGGGTGTGTATGAGGCAGCCGATCAATAATTTTCTCTCATCATTGATGTTTCTATCTCTCTCTCCTTCTCCCTTCCTCTCTGAAAATCAATAAAATTTTTACATTATATATATATTTTTTTAAACTCGGGTGGAGAAATTATAAACAATTATTCTTATTTCCCAAGGGAACTCTTTTATTTTGGAGGAATTTTTAAAACCTTACTTACGTAAGGGAGCTGTGCTGCCCGGTTTCTCTCCACAACTTCCTTCATGTTATCTAGGGTTCCATAGTCATAACGACTGAGTTGAAATCCAAGTGCCCAGTATGCAGGTAGGACTGGTCGTCCAATGAGCTAAAAGATATTTGAAATAAAAATTAGGAAATGTTCTATTTTTAATAAAAGCCTCTACTAAGCGTTGGTTTAGGGGCACAAAATATACTCCATTTTCCAACACACTTTTTCATTAATGTTGGATATTAGTCTACTTTCCCAGTCCCTTTATAATCATCGAGAATAGGGTCAATTTGTAATAGATTTACAATAGCTATTTATAATAGCAGATTTTCATGAGTCACACTTGCATAGTAAACTTGCTTTTCTTTGTGCTATTTAGGACTTTCCCAGTCGTCATCATGATATAATTTTACCTCTAGATATTCCTGGACCACTTCTTCTGGAGTATTTCCCAAGAACACATAGAAGTCCAGAATGCCCCCAATGGTGCGGTAAGTGATGGCTGGTGTGGGCTGGAGGGCAACCTCTTGATAGATTAAAAATGAAGAAAATAAAAATTAGAATTTATTCTTGATAATTACAAAGCTTTAGATCAGAGGATCGCGGCCAACTGAATATTAACAAAGTGATCCTAAGATTTTGTATACAAAGGGACAAACTGACAATCAAAGTCCACCCTGGCAGCACATGGGAGTCTAAGCACTGGTTCTGTGACAGATTTAGATAATTGGTGACTGGAGTGTCAAATGTAAATATCTGATATGCAGGATGTATTTTCATTGTTACAAATTGAACATAATTAAAGCATAGTGATTAATCACAAAAACAATATGTAATTATATATGTGTTTTCCGATGGTCTTAGGCGACCCCTGTGAAAGGATCATTCGACCCCCAAAGGGGTCGCGATCCACAGGTTGAGAACCGCTGTCCTAAGGGCTCATTTATCTTCCTGAAAAGTCATTTGCTTTCCCATAGGTGCTTTTCATCCCTCCCAGCTCCTCTAATAAGTAATTTTTTTTTTTTATCATAAGTGCCTTTATCCCCCTCACCTTTACCTATTAGGATGATATTTCAGCTCCAAATTGTAACACTCCCTTGAGCTGCTCTCCACTGAGCACGCTTATGCATATGCATGTTGCATGTGTAAATAAACTCCGTCCTTTCTCTTATTAACCTGTCCTTTGTCAGTTTCATTCACAGGCCCCCAAATATTAAACTTAAGGGGATAGAGAAACTCTTTTTCTTTGACATTCATAACTATATAACATGCTGTTCCTACTCTGCATCCACCATTATTGCAGGAATATAACCCACTGAGGCAGTAGCCTCAATGAATCTCACACCAAGCAAAAGCCAACCTAGAAACAAAGTCAGATATGATACTGTAAATTCACAGTCCCTCAAAGCACCAATCACAAATCCCAGAAGTGAGTCTCCCTATACCTTGTTTTGCATTTAGAGATAAAAGACCTCAAAATCTACTGAAATGTACTCTGCAGCCATGGGAGCAACCACACAGAGTATCTAGGGTCCTGTGTTCCTTCCCTTATTATCTGGTTCCTTTCAACTACCTGACACTGTATAATCCTTGTACTATCTCAATCTGTTCTTAGAATACTAGGTATCTCAGAATCATCTAAAATTCTATTAGGTATCTTATAACAATCAGATCACCTGGAGAGATTCTCAGATGATCTGTAGTGAAGGATCAGATCTTGGTTTTTAAATTTCCATTTCTTTTTAAACTGATACTTTTATAAAATAACATGAAAATGAATTACTAGGAAATGGTTTATGCATGCACTTAGATGCTACAACAATGTTTACTCTTGATTTTTATGCTCATCTTACTGTAGAACTGACACAATCTGTGAACCATCTGTGGGCCACGCTCTGAGTGTCATGGATCTAGTCCATTGATCCTCAGTTGAAAAGAGGTTTGGGATCAATATCCTATGCCCACCATCAACCCTGGGAGAGTCTGATACATCTCTACTCCTGTGCTGATTGATTCATTGCCACTAGAATCTGTTGTTACTTTTGCAGGCAGAAAAAGAGCATCATCGATCTAATCTAAAATCTTCAACTACTTTCTAGGGTCCTATAAGGTTACACTCTTTGGTCTTAATCTGATCTTGCTCCAAATGACCCTTGCCACTCCTTTATCTTGCTACCCTTGGAGTGTCTGAAGGTGACAGTCACTGCTCGGTTGTAGCCCCCTGGTTAGGCCCAGTTACTTCATCATCAGGCCAAGAGCAACTGGCTATTTCCCACCTGAGCTTATATCAACCCCTCTTCTGGATGAAGTCTAAAGGAGAACAGCAAATTGGTAGAAACTGTCTCTGAATAGGTTATAGTTTGCTGTCTTAACTCTATAATAGAAAAATATTCCAACAGAGGCAAACACATTCAGGAAGGTCATAAGCTAGGAGGGAAACCCCTACTCATCACACACAAGGCCTTCAGCTATGGCTCAACCATTCCTAAAGGGCTCCATTCCTTTCATCATCATGCTGTAAGAAAGGGACTGAAGATCCCTCTGATGCTTTCTTTTTTCATGACTATTCCTTTAGTCCTTTACCCATGGCATTGCTGTTCATCAGAAACACTCCAAAGGACGATCCACTAGCATCCTCAAGGCATAGGAAGAATGTCTGTGCACCATACAAGTTATTTCCATCCTGCAGAAAGATAATTCAAAACCACAAATTTACAACCTAGTAGTCTAAACTCCACTTGGCCAGAAATGAGTTAGGAAATCAGTGTTAATCATGTGAGTAATTGACAGGGAACTCATGATTAAAGAAGGCATAACTAAACCTTGAAAATATAAGGTTGATATTTAGTTGATGCTAACCAAGTAAAGAAGTGTTCGCGTATTGAATAAGCCACCTATGACCATTTATCTAAAAGGAGTGTGAGAGCATGTGATATCTGGAGTTCTGAAAAGCTCTCCTCTCACCGAGGTTTGCCTTACCTGACCTAACACCCCCCCGAAAAAGCTCCATTAAGCCTTAATAAGAATCGGGCGCCTTTCTAATGTGCAACTAGAGCTTTTCTTGAGATACCGGGTCTTCTAGTCTTTACAAGAGTAGAGTTTAGAAATTGAGCTGGTCTTCCATATGTTCGACTAGTACAGTAGTTCTCAACCTGAGCTGTATCCCCACCCAATTAAAACAGAATCCCTGAGGATGGAAGCAAGCACTGATGGTCTGTTAAATTTCCCCAGGTGATTCCAATGTGTAGTCATGTTTGAGAATCACTACTCTAGAACATTTAGCATGCATACAAATCATATAAGAATCTTAGTTACATGTGGATTCTAAGTCAGTAGATGGAAGAGGGAGCTGAGAGCCCACATTTCTCACACAGTGGTGCCCATGCTACACATTTCAAGTAGCAAGGATCCGGGGCTCCTTATTAAAGAACTATCATCAGCCATTTCCAGCGATTAAATTTTATTGCTGTTACTTACAAACTTTTTTTTTACATTGGGGTTTATTTGGCTTTTCTGAGTCCCCATTTCCTAGTTGTTAGATGGAGTAAATTATACTTATTTTTTCAAAGTTCTTTTGGTAAATAGTAATAATGCATAAAAATAATCAATAAATTATTCTATGATCTCTTTTCATCCAGCCACTAGTTCCACTTAGTCAGGAAAGTAGCTGAACAAGACCTGTATTGTTGAGCTTAGAATACCTCTGCTTTGTCAAAACAAAAAAGCAAAAGAAATAATAAATCAGCAATAATAACAATAAAATAACAATAAAATTTGACTCTTTCACTCCCCCAAACATTCTTAACACAAAGAATGATTAATATAATATTTTTAGTTGATATTTTATCCTGTTTTGCTGACAAACATGGTTAGTTGGTGATTTATAAAGGTCAACCTAAAATATAGAGATCATAATATTGTGCAGAGTCAATATCAGTAAATGTTTTCTCTAGAACTAGTTAGTTCAAAAGGAAGATATAAGTAAAAATAGTTGTCATTAACTTTCTATGTAGCAGACACTATTCTAGAGACTCTATATAGCAATTCATTTAATTTCCATCGCAACCCTATGGTAAATATATTGCCCCCGTTTTATATATGAAAAACTGAAGGCACAAAGAGGTAACTTGCCCAGAACCACGTAACTGGTGACTGGCAGTGCCAGAATTCAGACCCAGACAGCCTCATCTTAGCATCTTATACTTAGTCATTACACTGTATGCTGGTGGGTGACCTTCAAGAATGAGACTATAATATTCAGTGAAGAGGGTCCATCCTGTAACCTTACCCCATTAGGAGTTGTATCTCTGGCGAATATGGGCCAGGTCTTCCAATTCATATCATGGCGGTACTGTCCGTGCACTTGTTCTCCCAGGCCATACACGTTGGCACTGGGCAGTCGGATGGAGAGCTGCAGGAACTGATCAGCAAACAGGAGAGGCCCAATGCTTGAGTCAAACCTAGACACAGACAGAAAACACAGGGACAGGTGGGCAAGTGGGGTGGAGAGAACACAACTGATTAGAAAAGTGGTCCATGTCAATGACTCAATACCCCCTACTTAACAGGCCCCATTTGTCCTCCTGGGACATTTTTCTTGGACACCTAGAGATCAGGACTTCCTGGGGGCAGGTACCATGTGGTACATTTCTTAGATTTGTCCCATAGACACTCTACCACATGACCTGAATTATAGTAGATGTTCCATAAACAGTTACTAGTGGATGAACATGACTAGATAAATGGAAGGGAAAAAGGGAGGGTGGGAGAAAAAGGACACAGCCCAGTGACTGGTCTACAATAAATGCTTAGTAATGACAAAAAAAAGGAGGGATGGGGAAAGAGGAAGGTAGGCAAAGAAAAAGTATATTCATTTGGAGGTGGAGAGTCTGGCCTCCAACAGGATGCTTACAACCTTTAAAATGAATCCTTCCTCAGGCTTGCAAAGCTCCCTTCCCCTTCCTTCTCTGTTCCCCAGATAGGTTTTCCAAACTTACAGGATTAAATTGTTGCTTTTTCTGATCACTTTGATGCTAAATGGCTGTTTGGAGACCTTAACGTCATAGGTCTGGGAAGGAGCAGCATTTCCTTTGAAGGCTTGGACATGTTCATGCGGCACTTCATACCTGTCACTCTTTTGGTCAGTTAACTATCCAGAGAGATGAAGGAAAAGAAAGCCAAAATAAAAACGTGTCTGTCTTCTCAAAATAGAAGCATCCCTGCCACACCAGTGCTTCCCACTATCTGTGCTCATGGTACTGGAACTCAGGCACTGATCCAAATGGCATTATGTCTAAGGTGCATGTATACATTATATTATCAAATTCTGATGTTGAATACTTGGGCCTAAGCTAGTCCTTAGGTAGAAATATATACTCCAACTCTGAAGAGATGGACTATCTCTGGAATTTTCAAAGAAGATATCTTGTTTTTCCTCCCTACTACATTTCACATGGTATTAAGGGCAAACAAATGAAAAACAAAGTTCACCAGTAAACTCTAATGCATATTCTAGTATGAAGTTATCTCACTGAAGGAAGGCTATAGATGCCTTTGACATATAGGTGCTAAGTATGAATAATGACAGTAGAGGAAAAATACCTCCATTAGCAAAATGTTCTATTTTGTAGTAACTGCAGTCATGGGTAGGAAATAAGAACCTCTCAAAACAGATTATTTTTAAAAATAAACAAACCACAACCTTAAAGTGGAAACGATTGGATGTCTGATATTCCGCTGTGAGAAGGACATTGTTGACATCATTTCCAAACAGGGATGGAGAGGGCATCCTTTTCAACTGGGCTGTGAATCCTAATATAGAGAAGAAAAAGGTTTACAAAGCTGGCTGTGCACATTTACAAAAATAGACATAAAATTAACATTTATGTCAAAAAGCCTGGTGAAAAGCCTTTATTTCCCCCATCATGTGCTCATACAATCTGAAGCTAGGTACCGTCATTACCTTATCCAAAAACCATGCCTCGCTTCTACAAAATTTGATTGGAAACCTCCCCCAAAAGGCCTAACTCTCATTCTACCAGCCCACAATCTGTATGTATACAATATTCCTCCTTGGTTATTCTCCTGTTACATTACAGGTGATCATGTACACTGATGCCATCTCCCTAGTTACCTAAGCCAGATGAGAGTGGAGACCTTAGAAAAGCCTGGCAGGCCAAGAGTGTCTGGCTAGGGAACATGCTCCTTCTAAGAATCTCCCCAAAGTAGTCTCCCCTGGCTGGTCATTAGTGTGCTCTATATTTTAGGGTGGGAGGGAAAAGAGGGGATATTTAGTCCATGCACACTGACATTGGCTAATTTTCCAAATATGTTGAAAAAATTGGAATTACTTTCACATCATTAAAATCACATTAAGTAGTCTCAGATTACTGAGTTCAAATCCCCCTCTTTAAATGTTAGAAACAGGGACCAAAGAAGTGATGATGTTTACGAAGAAGTTACATGAAGGGAGAGTCAGAAACAGAGTATGTCTCTGAAGTCCCAAGACAGAGTGATTTTTCCTTGATTCCAAAATAAATTCTAGTCCTTGTTTAAGAGCAGCGCCCACCTTCAGTCGCATGCATGAGTGTGGCCCTGCAGAGCAAACTGCATCTTGCCGAGGCTCTCCTCTGGAGCCAACAGAGCCAGTTTCCAGAGAGTCTGGAGCTCCCACCTCCTGGTCTGGCTTACCTGCATTTGTCTTTACAAGGTCACCCTCCACCTGGTAGCCATGACTCTTAGAATAGTAGCACCAGGGCACACTGATGGGCCCCTGAGGTTTCCAGCAGCAGCCACGCTGTTCACAGGTGGCCTGCAATAAGAGATTTAGTCACAGTAACTCCATTTGTTACTAGAACGGTCGTTTACAAACACAATTTGCACTTGTGATGCCATTCACTTCGTTTTACAAATAAGGGAACTGATATTTAAAGAAACTGTGTTATGTCCCAGGCCATGCAGAACTTGTACTCAAAACCAATCTTTCCTTCAAATGTTCTTCCTAGTTACTGCTATTATATAACAATATAGGGACCACAATGCAGTCCACATCTGCCATCACAATGAAACTGATAAATTTAAATATTCTAAACGACAATATAGGTACATCACAATAACCCAAACTTTCAATTGGAGTTTCATATACATAGGTTTGGTCTTTAAAAAACAAAGCCTTGACAATCAACTTTATTCAAAAGCTTTAAGATCAATTTTGCTTTGACTTTTAAATGTGTGAGGTTATATATGTGACATTTACTTAGTTAGTCTCTCCACTCATCCCAAGGCAGAGAATAATTGTTCCCTGAAACCCGAATCGATTCCAATTCTTATTTAAGAAAGTTTCCTGCCTTATACCACAGTTAATGACTGAATCAAGTGGAAACTAAAATGAACACAATCCCTTTCTCATCTCAACTAATTCTGGAGAACCAACTAGGTTACATAGGGAAAAGTACAAAGAAACCTCTCGTCTTGACTGTGGCTAGACCGAGTGACGTATATATAGAATGTGGCAAAAACAACAGAGTAGATTAGAGCACAGAAAAGTGGCCAACAGTCACATAAATGAGCTTGAGAAGGATCACCCCACAATCACAGCCAACACCATGACGGCAGTCTTCTGAAAGACTTTGAGCCAAAAGCACCCAGCTGGACAAAGGCCAGATTTCTGACCACAGAAACTGTGAGAAAATAATGTTGGTTGTGTTAGGCCATTAAGTTTTGGGCCATTTGTCTCACAGCACTAGATAATGAATACAAATACATCCTGCTACATTATTTTACAGATGAAGAACCTGAGGCCCCCGAGGGAGAGGTTCACAGAGGTGACGTGACCTGCCCGAGGAGGCTCAGTTAGCTATTGAGAAGACTAGGACCAAACCTTCATTCTCTCTGTCCATTTCCTTTTTTCTATGGCCTGGGGTGAGAATCTGATGAACACATTTTCAGGAGGATATAGCTTAGCTATATAAACACTTAGTGTAATCAAATGTTAATTTTTATGTCAATAGCCATATTAAGGATGGAAAAACGATGCCCATCTGTGGTTTATATTGCTGTGGGGTCAGGTGTCACTGTGAACTCAACTTCAACTAGCAGTTTTTGCTTTTTTCTTTAAAACCCCACTCAGATGAAACTTCAGTATAACAGGAAAAGAGAAGGTGTTGAAATGGGTGCTGAACACAATGGTTCCTGTATGCTCCCCAGAGCTCAACGATTTCTTCATTAAAGTGGAAAGGGCAAAGACCAAGAGTGGCCAACCTGAATACCCAGGTCCCATAGTGGAGCTGAGCAGCTACGAGGAGAAGTGGGAAGAGAAGCAGAGCATGTCTCATATAAACACAAGAGTAAACAGTATGTGAAACCCAGGAAAATACTTGTACAGGGAAGCTCTAAAACATGGCAACCTGAATTGGACAGAAGGCACACAGAAGAAGGAGACCCAAGCCACAAATATGCCCCTTTAAGTGGGACATGAGAATTAAAATTTGAGAGAAAAATTTAAATGTAAGGCAAGAAAAGATGTATATGAGGGTAGGAAGTAGGGAGCAGTAGATTAAAAAAAGAAGAAGAAAAAAATGGAAAACACAAAATAAGACCTAGAAAAAAAATATATTTCAATTATCCTGTCTTAAATACTTAACTTAAAAGATAAATACTTTAAAGATAAAAAAGTCTGATTGCATTTAAATTCAGCTAAGTTGCTGTAAGGAGGCACACTCAACATTTAAGCTCACCAAAGCACTAAGAGTAAAAGTGTTTGGTTAAACAGATATGTGAGAAGAATGCTAAACAAAGGCTAGTGTAACTAGGGTAATATCAGACAAATAGACATGAAGTAAAAATTCATTATTAAAGAGACATTGAGACACTACACGATGGTAAAAGGTTCAATTCACCAGGAAATTTGATATGTAAATAATAATAAGGACTCAAAATATTTACAGGGAAAAATTTTTTTTAAAAATATGGAACGCTTCACGAATTTGCGTGTCACCCTTGTGCAGGGACCATGCTAATCTTCTCTGTATTGTTCCAATTTTAGTATATGTGCTGCCGAAGCGAGCACTTACAGAAAAGTTTTAAAGACTGACAAGGTACAATTGAAAAAGATGGTATACATGATGAGATATTTTTAAAGAGCTCCCTTAGTAGCTGATAAAGTAGACAAAAAGTAAAGATATTTTACTTTTCGCATAATGGACATATAGGCTCCTGCACAAACACAAAGAGAGGAACTGAGTTGCTCTCACAGGTGGAAGCCAGATCCTGAAGACAGTGTAAGATGTAATCAATCTCTGCTCCACCCATGTCCAAGACTCCTCCAACCCCAGTGCTTCTTACACTTAAAGGAGTAGAGAAGAAACAAACAAGTATTGCATGCCAAAGTCAGGCATGAAAGAAAAAGGAAAACTAGAGCCCAGTCTAATCCATGAACATAAATGCAAAAGCTTAGAAAAAAAGACCCTCAGCTTTTTCAGAAATCAGCAACATAGTCAATACTGACAGAGTAGTATTCTTTCCAGAGATACAAGGATCCTTTAATATTAAAAAAATCCACTTGTGTGTCCCTCACAATAACTTATTAAAGGAAGTAAACGATATAATCATTTAAATGCATCCGTTGTTCATGATGAAATTCTTAGCAAATTGGGAACAAACAGTAACTTCCTTAGCTGACTAATGAGTATCTACCAAATGGTGAAATGTCAAGAAACATTCCCTTTAAAATCAGAAGAAGAAAAAAACCTAGGTGACCTGTGTCTATGAATTCCTGTAACTAAAACTATATTAGAGGTCCTAACAATACAATAGGACAAGAAAGAAAACTTTTTATAAGACTGAAAATATGAAACCAAATTATCATTATTTTCAGACATAATATCTAGATAGAAATCCAAGAAAAGTTATAGAAATAAGTTGAAAATAAGTTAATTACTATTTTATATTATACTAGAGGCCCAGTGCATGAATCCATGCACCAGTGGGGTCCCTTGGCCTGGCCGGCGATTTAGGCCGATTGGGGCGTCTGTCCCCTGGTGGTCATTGTGCATCATAGCGACTGGTGGAACAGTCGAACGAATTATCGAATGAACAGTTGGACAGTTAGCATATTACGCTTTTATTACATAGGATCTTTTATTTTCTTCATAGTTTTGTAATTCTTTTCTGAATGCAAGGGGCAAAAGGTTAACAGTTGCCACTATAGAGATGGGTGAGGCTGCAGGAAGAGCAGGTTTCAGTATGTGCACAAGTGTGGGAGATCAAAAGTTCAATTTTGACATGTTTGTTTTGAGGTACTTATCAGACATTCAAGTGGAGATGCTGAGTTGACAGTTGCATAGATAAATGTGGAATTCAGGAAAGTGATTTAGGGTAGAGGCATTCCTCTGATATGTAGGCACATAGGGGTTACCATTGATAAACATGACACTGGATGAAATCATCAAAGGACTGAGTGTGGATAGACAAGATATTTATAGATGTCATATAGAAGATGTCATATAGAAGAGGAGGAATCATGAATTGGTTCAAAAGGTACAAATTTCAAGTTATAAAATAAAAAAAGTCATAGGGATGTAATATACAGCATGGTGACTATAGTTATAAAATTATATATTGCATATTTGAAAGTAGATCTTAAAAGTAAATCTTAAAAGTAGATCTCATCACAGCAAAAAAACAAATTGTGTAACTATGTATGGTAGCAGATGTTAACTAGACTTAGTGTGTTGATCACTTTGCCATATATACAAATTTTTAAATCATCACTTTGTACACCTGAACCTAATTTAATGTTCTGTCAGTTGTACCTCAGTTTAAGAGAAAGAGGAAGAGAGGGGGGAGGGGAAGGAGAGAGAGAGAGAGAGAGAGAGAGAGAGAGAGAGAGAGAGAGCAGTAGTGGCTGGTATCCGACAGAGAAAGGGTGTTGCCCTAAAAATGACTCTCATGTAAAGACTTGGGCACTATCAGCAGCTACAATTGAGCTGAGAATTTCTTCTCCTGTTCAGGTTTAAGCTACCCATACTTTAGTTCTTTTTCAATCATCCATCTTGCTTCGAGGTATGGTGTTCATAAATTATGTTTCTATGGAGTGATGGCTAATGCTGGTGACTCACTCAGACCCAGTCTCCTAGCACCTTAGCCAACACAATGAAGTGTTTGAATGTGACCCAATAGAGAACAGGTGCTCAAATTAGGTAGAAATATAATAAAAGTAAGACATTCAAGACAGCAGTTTCAATCAGGCATATAATGGAATAAATGGGGATAAATGGGATTCAGAAGAGAGGCTGGGAGGCTACTGGAACAATCCAAGCATGTGGTCACAATGGCCTAGTGCCGCCGTGGGCAAACTACGGCCCGCGGGCAGGATCTGGCCCATTTGAAATGAATAAAACTAAAAAAAAAAAAAGACCGTACCCTTTTATGTAATGATGTTTACATGTTTACTTTGAATTTATATTAGTTCACACAAACACTCCATCCATGCTTTTGTTCCGGCCCTCCGGTCCAGTTTAAGAACCCATTGTGGCCCTCGACTCAAAAAGCTTGCCCACCCCTGGCCTAGTGTGATCGCAGTGAGAATGGAAGTCAAGTGCTTGTTCTGGACAACATTGTTAAGAAAAATGTTCTAAACTAACTAAAATACATGAAACACTGGTCAAAGGGATAAAGGAGAGAGCCAGGCAAAAGTTCTTCTGTTTCTGCCCCAGAGACTAGAAGCACTATAGAACTATAACTGAAATCTCATAGGTGAGAAGGGAGAGCAGATTTGGTGAGGAGGTCAATACCTCAGAGCATTTATTAAAGACTCTTATAATAAAACACCAGAGAAACATTACTGAAGCAGCAAAGACATCTGAAGTTTACCAATAGCCAGGAACAAGATGGGGCGGGGAAGGAGCGGGAACAGACTTAGGATGCATTGGTCCTCTAGGCGGGCTTCTGAGCAACTTGTTTCCTAATACACAGTGACAGAAGCAAGTAAATGAGGATGGATCAACTTGCTGCAAACCTAGTGTGTCAAACATCCTGTTTAGGTACAACATGCCTGGACCACAACTTCCCATTCCAACTGACAAAGCAGCATGTTAAAAGACCTCTATCGTCTCTCTCTCTCTCTCTCTCTCTCTCTCTCTCTCTCTCTCTCTCTCTCTCTCATATCAACTCTCTCTCTCAAAAAAAAAAAATCAATGGAAAAAATATCCTCAGGTGAGGATTAACAAAAAATAAAAATAAAGGACCTCTATCATCAAGCTCCAATCTACCTTTCAGTCTTAAACATTAGCTTCTCTCTGGTATCCACCCTATATCTTGGTCACATGGGACCATTCACTATGTCATATATATGCCCCACAATTTCCTCTTCTGTCACTCAATATACATCATCTCTTGTATCTTGAAATTGGTAAAATTCCAAAATTTTACCTTCTCCTTAATAATAATCTCTTCTGTTTTCTGATCCAAAGAGTATTTTTTTCTCAGATCGTATGAATTTTTGTTTCATTTCCCAGTCATTTACTTACTTAGCTTATCTCCTCTACTAGAATCTATGACAAGAAATATATATATACTAGAGGCCTGGTTCACGAAATTCATGCATGCGTAGGGTCCCTAGACCTGGCCGGCAATCAGGGTCAAACAGGATCCCCCCCTCCCCACCTCCCTGCCTCCTCCTTCCCTCACTCCCTCGGTACCCTGCCACAGCTGCTGACTACCCGCCATGTTCTGTGCAGCCCCCTGGTGATCATTGCATGTCATAGTGAGCGACTGAACTCCCCTTCTTCCAGTTGAACTCCTGAGGGGACACTTTGCATATTAGCCTTTTAGATAGATAGATAGATAGATAGATAGATAGATAGATAGATAGATAGTTTAAGTGAACATAGCTATAACCCCAAATATGAAACTTTGTGGCAGTTGGCCCCGTACTGAAGTGGTTTTGGTTTTGTTTTTCTTTCTCCTTTGTATCTTCTTTTTCCTTTGTTTCTAAGCCTTTTAGTCTCTCCTTGTTTCTCATTACATGATTCCACTCAGCCTCTAATGGCTGCTCCAAGCTGCTGTGTATGAAAAACCAACCTCTGATACCTGACTCTGAAGGTCTTCCAAATTCTAAATCCATCTTTTATATTCAGCCTCATTTCTCCTACTCCAAGCAGGCAAGTCTCTACACTAATCCAAGAGAAGGTCAGGGTAAGATGCCAGGTGAAGGAAGGGGAGTGAACACCATAGTAGTCTTGGTAAAGTAAATCGGTCTAACCAGGATGACACCTACCGTAGCAAGCTTGCTGCCCTTCTGTGCCTGAATAGCTGGTCTAGGCACTGCTTTATCCTGTCCTGGGGATTTCCTGATTATTAACTATCTATCAGATTGGATCTCTCTTGCCTTCAACACAGCCTCTGGGCTTCCTAACTCATTTTGTCCCATCACTCTGCTCCAATCTGCAGTTCATAGTCATTTTCTCTACTCCAATTTATCTGGCTCTGTTTGCCTTATCAACCTTAACTTCCAGCCTCCTCAGAGGCCCAGCCCATCTAATCCTATGGCTTATCCCTAATCTGTTTGTTCTCTCTTTGCTGCCTTAGTTCTCTCTGACTCAGCACATATGACATTTCAGTCAATACCAAAGGCTCAAGTTGTAACAGTTTCCATACTTCCCATCTCTGTGACTTTGTCCGTGTTATGGGCTGAATTATATCCCCAGAAAAGAAATGTTGAAGTCCTAATAGTCAGTACCTGAGAATGTGACCTTATTTGCAAATAGGATTGTTGCAGATGTCATCAGTTAATATGAGACCATACAGGAAAAGAGTGGGCCCCTAATCCAATATGACCAGTGCCCTTAAAAATGGGAAATTTGGATGTATTTTCAGAGAAAAAGAGAGAGAGAAAGAGAGAGAGAGAGGGAGAATATGCCATGTAACGATGGAGGCAGACATTGGAGTAATGCAGTTATAAGCCAAGGAATGTCAAGAACTGACAGTCATCACCAGCAGCTAAGAGAGAGCCAAGGGACATATTCTTTCTCAGAGCCCTCAAAAGGAACCAACCCTACCCACACCTTGATTTTGGACATCTAGCCTCCAGAAGTGTTACAGGGAAAAAATAGAAAATGTCTTTTGCTGTTAGAATCTTTATTTTAGATAAGCCAAAACATCAGCTCTCAAGCACAGCACAGACTGTCCCAGCCCACTGACAACAGGATGGCTACAGAGACAAATGAGAGAGTGCCATGTGCCCACACATCACCTGCAGTGAGTGTCCTTTGTGTCTAACACAGCTCTGCCATTTCAGTGGACTTCACTCAGAGGCTGCATTTTGCTTTCATTCATTCTCTAAGTGAAAGGTGACTGATATGGTAGGTTTAATATATTTTATAATCATTATATTCAGCTGGACTTCAGCTCCTGATCAAGAAACCCTGCCCTAGAGCAAACATCCAGATGCCTGCACTATCTTAATCTGGTATTTATTATCTTCTTCTTTCAAAGTATGGCTCTTGACACTTTGTCCTTATTTTAAATGTTTTATGCACGTGTATGACTTTATTGTAGATCCTAGATAACCTTTTGAAATTGTGAAAGGAGGGAGACTGACAGAGAAAGGCCAAGAACAGAGGCAGTAGGCAGTAACAGACTTAGAGAAAACCAGTAACCAAGAAGTATTGCCAGGTTAAAAACAAAACCATTACAGTATAAGTCCCAAGTCTTACCTGGGACATACTTACACTAAAATACTATTCATTGTTTATCTGAAATTCAAATTTAACTGGGCAGCCTGCACTTCTATTTGCTGAGCCTGTAAACCCAAAAGTATCTTCCAATGCTTCCTCTCCCAAAGCTGTTCTATCATACAATCATGGACAGAAGATTAATTTGCCTGAGCCACCAAGAGCTGCATTGAAAACTCTCTGGGAGTGATAAACATAAACAAAATCCATGAAAACAAACAAAAAAGCTTTCCAGCAGCATAAACTCCTCAATGAAAACAAGACCCAGAACTCAAACCTTTGTGGGTGACTGGTCTGGGATGCAGTTTATCCGCTCCGATTCATTGACCACGGGGCACTCAGGGGGGATAACTGTTCCAGAATCTGAGATTATCCCAAAAGCAAATATAAAATGACCATTAGACAGACTTAGTATCACAGACATTTGATATCCCTGTAGTTCGCAACCCCTCCCATTATATGAACTCCACTACTGATTGGGTTTCTCTCCATGTCCTTGAAATGCATTCACTTCATAAAGCCTCACTTTGTTCCTGCTGACTGCATTCACCTCCATGCACACCTGCATCACTTTCTACCACCAAGACCCTCCCCTATGAGACACTGCATTAAGAATAAAGAGTCTGACTCCGCTATTTGATCAGAAACTAATTCTTCCTCTTCAAGTCCAAGGGTCAGTAAACTATGGCCCGTGGGTCAAATCAGGTCACAGCCTGATTATTCAATAAAGTATTGCTGGAACACAGTTGCACCAGTTTTTTATGTATTGCTGATATCTGCTTTTGTGCTACAATGGCAGAATGAAGTAGTTGAGATAGAGACCACCTGGCCCACAGTAGCGCAAGCATGTCAAACTCACGGCCCACGGGCCGCATGCCTCATTTATTTGGCCCATGTTAGCCTTTGAGTTTACATGCTTGGTCTAGCCATGGTCGGCAAACAGCAGCTCGCGAGCCACATGAGGCTCTTTGGCCCCTTGAGTGTGGCTCTTCCACAAAATACCACGTGTGGACGCGCACATACAATGCAATTGAAACTTCGTGGCCCATGTGCAGAAGTCAGTATTTTGTGGAAGAGCCAGTATTTTGTGGAAGAGTCACACTCAAGGGGCCAAAGAGCCGCATGTGGCTCGTGAGCCACAGCTTGCCGAGCCACAGTTTGCCGACCACTCTAGAGCATTAAGCCTCTGGCCCTACGCAGAAAAGTCTGCAGACTCTGCTCTGGTCCTTCACTTCCACCCCAGCGGCTGGATCACCGTAGGTTTGCACACAGAACATGTTGTCTTGAATGTTATCACTCTAACCACAGCAACCTCAGTTCTGCTTGCTCAGTCAACAGGCAGTCCCTTCTGGGTGCCAAGCCCCAAGACCAGGTTGGTGGCATCCTATGTAAACATAAAGTCTCCTAAAGGGAGCCCACTGATCTAGAAACTGGCAGCTAGAATCTGCCCAAGGCCTTTGATTCAGATTTTAAAAATTAGTAAAATTTAAAAAGGCACATTTAATGCTTTCTAGTATGAGGAAGTGAGATTTCTTTAAGACACTGCAGTAAATTAAGAATGACATTAAGTTAAAACAATGAGGTTTTTAATTCGTTTTCATTATTCCAATTCAAAAGTGCTGGATTAAAAGAATTTCATATTTGTTCCAGTTTCTGCATAAAGTTTTGAGTTCCATCTTTAATCACAGAATTTTAAGGAGTGAACAAACTTTGAGGTTATTTCATCTAACTTCCCTTGAAAGCGGAAATTGCTAGGACTGGGAATGAGATGAAGGGCCAAGGTTTCCTCTAGCCACAGACTGACTGACCTTTCATGGACTGAAGGGTAAGAAATCATGAATAACAGCACAATCCATCCTCTCTTTTAAAATAACACAGTTCAATAGACTTTTAAATTTTTTATGTTTCAATTATAGCTTTAGGTATAATTTAACATTATTCTGTATTAGTTTCAGGTGTATAGCAAAGTGGTTAGAAAATCATGTACTTTACAACAAACTTTTAATAAAATAACTCTGATAGCTGTTATTTTTTTAATGAACCAAACTTAGGCTGAAATACTTTAACTTCTTATTTGACTGCCTTTCCTATAAAGGTATTATTCATTCTTACTATGTATTAACAGACCTAGACTTAGTCAATGAAATTTGGAAAATATATTTCATGTCTGTTGTGGAATCCTGCACTGTGCTAGTTGGGAAATAAAAGTGTCAGAATTTAGGCCTACAGTGAATCCCTACTGAATTGCCACAGTTTGCTTAGGTGCTCCCCAACACACACTCACACTCATACTCACACTCACACTCACACACATTCACATACACACACACACACACACACACACACACACACTCACAGCAAAGAACACAAAGCACTCTTCCTTGTCACTTATGAGGATTTTGCTTTGTTAAGAGCAACATGTGGAGGAAGAACACCAGAGTTCCTTGTTACCTTTGGATTTCAAAGACTCTTTCGCAGAAAGCACAAAGAGAGGAATAGTGATGATAAACACAATAAGCAGGAGAGCACTGAGCATAAGCTCCAACGTAGTAAAGTCTTTCAGCTTCGTTCTTGCCATCTATAAAAGGAGAAAACAATTTTAGATTTGAAAAGGATTTTAAATTTCCTATATTTATTTAATATATACAGCTAGTAAGTTTTCTTTAATGGAAAAGCCCAAATATATTCCTAAGTAGATGAACAACAAATCCCGTGTACCCATTACATAGGACAAAAAAATTATCAACTCATGGCCAATCTTATCTTCATTCCTACTTACTTCTCTCCCTAACCTTGCATTATTTTTAAGCAAATCTCAGATTTCATAACTTTTCATCTGAAAATGTTGAAGCATATCTCTTAAATAAGAAATTTCACAGAAGACGAGAAAAATGATATACCTAAATTATTTTTAAAATAATCCCATAATCATGAACTATCTAGTCAATGTTGACATTTCCATCATTGTCTGATTTTTTTTAATTTTTTTTAATTGATTTCAGAGAGGGGAAGGGAGAGAGAGAGAGAGAGAGAGAGAGAGAGAGAGAGAGAGAAACATCAATGGTTCATAGGTCAACTGTCAACCACTGAGCCACACTAGCTGGGCTAATAATTTTTTATAGTTTGTTTGTTGTACTCTCATAAGGATGCAAGTAAGATTTATATATTATAATTCATTTATATTTAAGTGTTTTGTAATTAATAGTGTTTGGTTTGTAGATTTTCCCACAATTTGGATTTTATCAATTGTATCCCCATGCATGCTAACATGTTTCTCTATAAACTATTAGATCTAGAGTTTTGACCATATATAGGTTTGAGTTTTTAGCAAGAATGGTGCATAGGTGGCATAGCATCTTTCAGAAGGAGACATAAAATCTATCAGATTCTCTTTTCTTTATGTTAACAGCCACTGGTGAGCATTCCTTAGAACCATTACATCATTAGGAGTTGTGAAATAGTAGTGCTGGAATTCTATCCCTCTTTATGAGAATTACGCCTCCCATGCAGTCCATTCCAGATATTTCCTTCAGCACCTCCATCTTAGGACGTTGTCCTTTCTTAGGGACAGTTCTGATTCCAGACTGAGTTGTGGCCCTGACCTGCATCAGTAGCAAGTAATAGCAAGCCTCTCACTCACATCTGTCCTTCCCATGGTTTTCCCTGATATCACTGCTTTAGCCCCTCCTTTCTCTGACCCTATTACTATCATTCTTTAAAAAGCTTGTCCTTTGCAGGTCAACAGTCCATATTCTCTCTCAAACAATAACTAAAACATATCATTTGATCACTTGTGCCAAATTCCAACAGCATTTTTTAAAAGATAACGTTTACTATCTTTGAAAGGGAAAACTTGACATCTGCCATTGGCTTACCTAAGATCTGAGAACTTCAGGAAAAACTGTTTACCTAGGACAGCAATACCCTACATTGACTGCATTCTATATTTGTAATGATACTGAGATATAAGAATAGCCAAGCTTAAATTTTCCATTGTGCAGCTAAAAGGACTGGGGTGCTTTAATGACACTTGTCCAAAGTTTAGGACAAGTCAGTGGGACAATTAGTGGCCCTGTCTCCCACCTTATGGATCTTCCTTATGATCTCACGAACTGTTAGATAAGGGCACATCTGTCTTTCATGTTTTGTGTGAGAATAAGAAATCATATAAAGCTATATTATAGTGCAGAAATGTGCCACTCAATGGGAAGTGAAACAGACAGCAAGTCTTAATCAATACATCAATCAGAATGAAGGGATAAAATTCTCTTAGTGCCATAGAAGATCTTATATAGAAGCAGTAAATAAATCTATTGTCAACTTGGGTGGTGTAATGGAACAATTTCTAAAATGAATTTCATTGACCTGTCAGCTTCTTGTACCCCCTTAAGTTGTCTGTAGAATCAGACATAAAGAAGCATTTGAAGGAAAAGGAGGAGAGAGAAGAGAGAAGTACAAGAACAACTATGTGAATGGGGTAGTTGGTCTTGAAGCCTTACAAACTTTTAATGGCTTCATTACTTGTGATACAAAATGGTGTTATCTACAGTCTAATTCTTTTTTATTTTTTGATTTTTTGATTTTTTAATAAATCTTTATTGTTCAGATTATTACAGATGTACCTCTTTTTCCCCCCATAGCTCCCCTCCACCCGGTTCCCACCCCACCCCATGTCCTTACTCCCCCTCACTGTCCTTGTCCATAGGTGTAAGATTTCTGTCCAATCTCTTCCCACACCCTCCATACCCCTTCCCCCCCCCCCAAGAATTGTCAGTCCACTCCCTTTCTATGCCCCTGATTCTATTATATTCACCAGTTTATTCTGTTCATCAGATTTTTTATTCACTTGATTTTTAGATTCATTTGTTAATAGATACGTATTTGTTGTCACTTTGTTGTTCATAATTTTTATCTTTACCTTTTTCTTCTTCCTCCTCTTCTTAAAGAATACCCTTCAGCATTTCATATAATACTGGTTTGGTGGTGATGAACTCCTTTAGCTTGTTCTCATCTGTAAAGCTCTTTATCTGACCTTCAATTCTAAATGATAGCTTTGCTGGGTAGAGTAATCTTGGTTGTAGGTTCTTGCTATTCATCACTTTGAATATTTCTTGCCACTCCCTTCTGGCCTGCATAGTTTCTGTTGAGAAATCAGCTGACAATCATATGGGTACTCTCTTGTAGGTAACTGTTTTTCTCTTGCTGCTTTTAAGATTCGTTTTTTGTCTTTTGCCCTTGGCATTTTAATTATGATGTGTCTTGGTGTGGTCCTCTTTGGATTCCTCTTGTTTGGGGTTCTCTTCACTTCCTGGACTTGTAAGTCCATTTCTTTCACCAGGTAGGAGAAGTTTTCTGTCATTATTTCTTCAAATAGGTTTTAAATATCTTGCTCTCTCTCTTCTTCTGGCACCCCCATAATTTGGATGTTGGTACGCTTGAAGTTGTCCCAGAGACTCCTTACACTATCTTCATATTTTTGGATTCTTTTTTCTTTTTGCTTTTCCAGTTGGGTGATTTTTGTTTCTTCATATTTCAAATCTTTGACTTGATTCTTGGGATCCTCTAGTCTACTGTTAAATCTCTATATATTATTCTTTATTTCAGTCAGTGTATGGTTAATTTCTAATTGGTCCTTTTTCATATCCTTGAGGGTCTCACTCAATTTCTCAGAGGTTTCTAGAAGATTCTTGAGTAATCTTATAACTGTGGTTTTGAACTCTATATCCAGTAATTTGCTTTCCTCCATTTCTTCCATTTGTGACCTGTTTCTTTGTCTCCGCATTTTGGCTGCTTCCCTGTGTAGATAGAGTGGCCTTGTGTGCTAGGTGTCCTATAGGGCCCAGTGGCTCAGCCTCCCCAATCACCTAAAGTGGACACTCTTGGTGCACCCCTTTGTGGGCTGTGTGCACAGTCTTGTTGTAGGTAAGCCATGATTGCTAATGGTATCATTGGGAGGAATTGGCTGTGAGGACCAGCTGTTTCTACAATGGAAGAACTGCTGTGCTGGAGACACCCTTATGTGGCAGGACTTGCTTCAGTGGGGCTTTGGTGCTCATTGAGTCTGCCCCTTGAGTCTGTTGCTTATGGATGTGAAGACTTATAATCTGGTATGGTCTCACACTGACCACTGGGTACACTGGCTCTTGGATCTCCAAGGAGGTGCAAAGTCAGCCACTGCCTGAGGCCACCCAGCAGGAGCTACAGCGAGATCTGCAGATTCCTCCTTTTGTTTGGGGTTTGGAAGTGCCCAGATGAGGCCCAGCTGTGAAGCAAGTCAGGCTGCTGCTGAGGAGCCTTGGGGCTTCTTTTGGAAGCTTTGGAGCTCTCTGACCCAGCTGCAGTTTGTTAGGTTAGTCTGCGAAAGGATAGGCCATTCATATGCAAAAACCACTGTGCACAGCTTGGGTTGTAAATTGGGTGGGGTGAGGTCTCAGGGAATCACCAGGACAGAGCAAACAGCAATGGCTGCCAGTCAGCCCTGCACTGGCGAGGTTCCCGCATCTCTGTGTCTCCGAGTCCTGCACCCCCACACAGGAACAATGATCGCTGCGAGCACCTCTGAGAGAAAGCCACCCTCGCGTTCCTGTCCTGATGCCAGACAGTCCAGTTTCTCCCCGTATGAGTCTGGGTCCCCAGAGTCTCGCCTGGAACTGGAGTTCAGAGCAATCAGGACCTTGTATCTTCCTCCCAATTAAAAAAAAACAACAGTGCACCCAGTTGTCAGCCTGTTTTGCGCGCACCTCCACATCTCTGCACCTCCTACTGGTCTCAGTGCACTTTTTTCTTTCCTTCCAGTGGCAGAACTTCCACTCAGCCAGCCCTCCCATGGTTCTGGATGATATCTGTTCTGTCTTTTAGTTGTAGTTTTGATGTGGTTGTGAGAGGCAGCAATACAGGTGTTCACCTATGCCGCCATCTTGGTTCTCCTCTCCCCTCCACTCCTATCTGAGAATCACTTTGGGAATTTTGAGTTCATCAATTTATTTAATAATATTGTATGATATTAGCCAATGGGGGGGAGTGGCCAGTGTAAATTGAGGACAATGAAATAAGGGATGAATATGAAGTAGGAGGCAGTAATAAGAAAAAATAAAATAACATATTTGGAGAGAGTAGTGGGGGAATAATTGTCCTTTTGTGAAAGTTTTCAACCCCATCAAAGCACCCCTCCCAACGTCTCCAGTATTTCAATGCACCCTCTCTACTCCTGGCTCAGTTGTGACCAAGAATAAGTTTTCCTAAGGCTTTTCTCCCATTGATGTATCTACTTCCTTAATTTACAACACCCCTCTTCTCTCTCAAATTGTGAGTTCCCAGGGCATAAGAGTTATACCTGCTTATTTCTCTTAACTTTCTTCCTAATTACCTATTAACAGTATCTAAATACTTACTGACTGATAATATTTTATTTACCAATTAAACATTTACAAAATACCTACCTACTTCCTAATTATGGTATCCATGAAAGTATTTTAGAGAATAAAATGATGATGCCTGCCTTAAATGAGCTTAAAGTCCAATACTATTATTTCCTTCTACCCAATAAAAGTGATGTAAGTTAGAAAGAGTACTCTTCCT